GTGGTTTGTGATCCACTTGAGCTTACTGTGGAGAGGGTGAGTCTGAGGGAGTGTTGCTAAGCGTACCGTGGCTCTGTGGCATATCTTTTGTAGGAGTAGGGGGATCGGGAGTAGGTTGGCATGTGCTTCGAGTGAGTCTGTCGGCATGGATCTCATAGCGCCGGTGATGCTGATGGCTGCGATGCGTTGAACAGATGTTAGGCGTTTTGCAATACCTTTGGATCCTCGTTGCGTGGTGTGTGAGCCTTGCTTGAATAGTGAACGGAACCAGATGTCAGCGCCATAGGTGAATTTTGGAATAGCTACCGTTTGATATAGTTGTCGCATGAGTTTCGTCAGTATTCCCATTGAGGTTCTTGAGAGTCGGCGAAGTTGGAGTACATATTCGGTTCCCTTGGCGATGGCATATGCGGCGTGTTCTCTCCAGGTGAGCTCTTGGTCGACTATGATGCCGAGGAATCTGGTGTGGTGGGAGGGTTGAATTATTGTGCCATTGAGGTTGATGGGTTGTCGTTCCTTGGTTTTGCTGCGAGTAAAGTCCATGAGTGCGAATTTGCTGGTTTCGAATCTAGAATTGTGGTATCTCGACCATTGGAATGCTCCTCCGTCGTGTTTGAGCATGTCTCGTAGTATCTCATGGGTCTCTTCGAATGTTCTTGTGATGGCTACGTACGCAGTGTCGTCGACAAAGGCCAGGGCCATTTCTTCTCGCTTGTTGCCAATCTTCCCTTTGGCTATATCGACTAGATCTGAGTTGTAGATTAGGTAGCATATCATCGACAGCGGGTCTCCTTGTCCAATTCCGTTCGTGACGGGGAACCATTCTGATGTGAAGTTGTCGAATTTGAGTTGCGTGCGTCGGTCCGTGAGCATGTGTTCCGTGAAAGATACTAGTTCATCTGGGAGGTGTCTTTTCTTCATGTTGTGTATGAGACGGTCAGTGACAGCATTGGGGAAAGCTCCTTCGATGTCTAAGAAAAGTACTGAGGCCACTCATCCTGTTCTCCAGGCGTCCTTGATGGTTACTTCAAGTAGGTGAACTGAGTCTGTCGTGGATCTCCCTGGGCGTCCTCCGAAGTGATTCGCAGGCAGTAGTTGGTGTGTCTCTAATATGTGTGTTACCTGTTGCATGACGATTGCGGTTAGGAGTTTGCACGTCGTGTTGATGAGGGCAATGGGTCGATATGCCTTGGGTGCTGAGTAGTCGGCTTTGCCGGGTTTGCGCAGTACAACTGTTGTGAAGTCTCTCCATGGTTCATAGTATGTCTTTAGTGTGAATACTGCCCTGAAAATATAGAGGAGGTAGGGGGTTAGTTGACCTGAACTGTGCTTGAAGACGATGTTGCATAGTCCATCCAGCCCTGGTGCCTTGTATGGACTGGTGTTGCTGATGGCTTGCTCGATGTGTTCCGCAGTGATTGGCGTAAATGGTGCGGCTGGGTCTGGATATTCGAAGTCTTTAGGTACTGAGCTCGTGGGTGGCGGAGGTGGGAAGAAGGTTCTGGCTAGTATTTCGCTCTTGTCGTCATTGCTGATTGCTTTGTGTATGGTGCCGTCAGCGTTCTTGACTTGGAGGACTGGGATTCGTGTCTTGCCGCCGTCTGTGCTTGGGTTTGAGACGTATTTGTTCGCTATCCATATTTCGCATTGCGTCGCTTCCTCGAGGAATTGTTCCCAGTGTTCCTTCTTTGCCTTGAGGATGGTCTCTGATACCTGGTTTCAGATTTTGCGGTGTTCCTCGTGTGATGGGTGATCTCTTGCTGCTCTGAATTTATAGGATAGGTGACTTAGCTCATGTTTCTGCGCTATCAGCTGCGATATTTCCTTGGTCCACCAGCGTTTGGCATGAGGGTTGGGTTTGGTTTTCGGGACGATTTCCTCTATGGTGTCGTGCAGGGCCTTTGCGAGGTTCTGTGCTGCTGCGTTAAACTCGTCCTTGCTTGCTAGCGGTTGGGGTGGAGGGATGCGTCCCAGTTGCGTTTTGAGCGTCGCAGAGAATTTCTCCCAGTCTACATCGCGGTAGTTGTATGTCGTGGTTGTGGTGGCCTTGGGGATTTCGAAGTCGAGTGTGCTGAGGATTGGAACATGGTCGGTTTTCGGAGGGCGGAGGGCAGGGGCTGTATCACATACTGTGAATGATTCGAGGGTGTTGTCGGTGCAGATGACATTGTCTGGTCTCATCCAGTTTCCTGAGCTTGTCGATTGTAGTGTTGGCAGGTCCTTCGGGAGGGCTTGGCACATTCCATATTCTGCCATCAGTTCGATCCATGCTTGTGCGTGAGTTTGGGCTTCTCGTGTCTCACATAGGTGACGGTTGCGTTCTTCTTCCCAGAGTGCGTGATGACAGTTGAGGTCACCGAGCCAGATCATGTGGTCTTCCACAGTTGGTCGTACTAGTTGGATGTGGTCTTCGAGGTATTGGTGTAGAGTCGGGGGGGTGTCTTGTTTCGTACCGTCGTTGTAGATGTTGAATAGAGTGAGTTTGCCGAAGGTGCCTGAGAATTGGATGACGACCACGTCTGCTGAGGGGAAGGGGAGCTGCCTCCAGCTATTGGTGTTGATGCGCTTGTGTACCAGGGTGACTGCGCGAGATCGTTTGGTGTGGGTGTATCGTTGCGTCGGGTATACTACATGCCAGTCGGGAGTTGCTCTTGTGTTACCTTTTGTGTCGATAGTTGGTTCTTGAATCGCTATTATGTCCCAGTCTCTCGCTGTTTGGGGTCCGCTGAGTATGCAGTGTTGAGCGTCTGGTGAGGTGTTTAAGTTTTGTTGCCATATGCGTAGACGTGCCGTGGTGTTGTTCTGCATGTTGGGCTTAGTTCCAGCCGGAGGCGTTGGCCTCAGTTGATGTTCCTGGGACGAATTCGAGTGAGTAGGGTTCTGGGTATGGTCTTGGGGACGCTCGGTTTGGGATGAATCCTCTTGATGATGGTCTCGTGCCTCGGTTTCTCATAGGGTACATGTCTAGACGTTGTTGGGTGAGAGTTGGTTGTTGGTTGTGGTCGTTTTTCGGAGGGGGAGGTGGCAGTTTTTGGTATGGTGGCGGTTTTGGTGGGGCTGTTGCTTGGGTCCATTCGTCGTTCGTTGGGAAGTAGGGTAGTTGGTTGTCTGGGTATCTCTTGTCCAGGCTCTCGCAGTGTTTGATGAATGTTGGGCAGTCTCTGTCTCGACTTGAGTGGTCAGTGGTCTCGCATGCTGTGCAGTATTGTTTGTCTTTGGTGGTGCAATCCGTCATTCGGTGATTGTTGCCACAGTTAGCGCAGGTGTCATTGTGGGCGATGCACTCCTTGGCGATGTGTCCGTAGTGCTGGCATTTGGCGCATCGCATAGGTTCTCATCTGTTCTTGCTTGGCCAGAGTTTGGCTTGGTCTACTGCGATTCCGTCTCGGATTGCGTTGTTGGCGGATGTGGGGTCTGTGAACGTGATTAGTATGTGAGCTACTCTCTGCGTGTTTGTTCTCTTCTCCACTGGGTTTATCCACCGTGCCATCAGCACTGTTCCTTCGTTCCATCTGTTTTCTCGTTCTATCTGTCGAAGGTTAGTATTGTCTCCAGGTTTGAATGATATAGGCATAAAGGGTACGACGATGGTGTATGTTCTTTCTTTGAGCGCGGCTTGCGGGTCTAGGTTTTGGAGGAGGTTCTTCTTGGCTTCGTTGTTGGTTCGTAAGTACACTGCGGCTTCCTTAGTTGTCATTTCGATGATCATGCCTCCTTGACGGAACTGAGTGATGGACCGAGTCTCCAGTTCTGGTGCGTCGTTGTCTTTGGGTAGGGCTGCTATCGCTTGTTTGACCTTTTCGACTAGTTGTGCGTGTGATGATTTTCCCGCTGCTAGCTCGCTGCTTGAAGGGAAGTCGATGAGAAGTTGGCATTCTTTGATGGCTTCGCACGCCATTCTTTGGAGGTGTTGCGCTTGGGCTTCAGGGTTTGTGTGGTTCCCTGCTGCTGCTTTTGCTGCGTATGTGGGTTTCATGGTTTCTGATACTTGAGTGGTGAGTTTGACGAGCGATGATTTCACTTCTTCTAGTTGCGTGTCTTGGGTTACTGCATTGGTTTTGAGGTCTGTTGTGGTTTTCGTTAGCTTTTCTTCAGTTTCCTGCAACTTAGCAATGTGAGGGGAAATGGCTGCTGTGATGTGACGAGCAATGGTTTCCGCCATTTCATTTGTTGCTCCTTCTTCCAGTATAAATGCCATCGCGCGCATGGCTGTTTGTGCCGGAAGGGAGACACCCGCTAGTTGAGTAGTGTGAAGCAGTAGTTCAGATATTTCGTTTTGGGTTTTGTAGGGTTTTCCGGCGAGAGATAGAGCGATTCGTTCTAGGTATTTTTTTCCTGTTTTTGCGTCAGTGACTTCATTTTTAAGTGCTATAATTTCTGGTATGGACAGTCTAGGTGGGGCTCGTTTGTTAGTGGTTTGTGTTGGGTTTGCTGGGGTGGTTGGACGGGATTCAGAGGCTTGGTCGGTACCTGAGGCTATCATGTCTCTTAGGTTTCGCGTTCCGTTGCCTTTGTCTTTGTCTTTATTATTGACTAGGGTGTTGGACGGGGCCATGGTTGAGAAGGCGCCGTTGGACGCACGCTGCCGATGAGCGCGTGTGAGTTCCGGGGTCCTAGTCGGGGTGCCACTTGGTTCAGGTCCAAGGGGCGCGATTTTGACAATCTTTTCTGTGTGCAACTCTACGTCGACCAATCAACATCTAGCTCTACCCTCTGTCACTTTTTCGTATGTCGCTTGACACTGCAAAAAAGGACCAAAGTGACACATGTGTGGCTTGCAACATATATCCTGAATTCCGTTCAGGTGAATAATACCAGGTCTGACTCATGGTGTAGTGGATGTTACTTACTTGTCACGATGTTGAAAATTTGCGAGCGTTCGACTCATGTAGATTGAATATGCTTGGAGATCGTCTGCGAAGTCTCGCAAGCACTAAGTGTAACAATGCATGACTGGCAGCAGATATCTCATGTTGGTGCATTATATTTAGTAACCTGTAATTTACATCAAATTCACGTTTGTCTACTTACATGGAGACCCTCAAGGTAAGGCCGTATTACCGACGACGACAGTCTATAATCAGATGAGGTATGAGTTCGATGGGAGGTCAAACTACTCGATCATATCAATCAACTGTTTTGCGACCTCTGGAGACATTCCACAACGCTTCGTGAGATGGGGGACAAGATCCTTCCTTCTCACACTCAAACCCCCTATAAGTAACTCCTTCAGCTTGTGCATCAACGACACGAGCAGGCTGTGCCCTCTCATACATGCCTGCTTCTGCCCGTCAGCAGTAAAAGTCTGTACGAGGTTGCGGATCGTGATGCGTGATTGTTCGTAAAGGTCTTTGTGTCTGTCGTCCGATCTATTGGCAGCAGTGATGCACGCGTGACCGGCGACCTTTATCTGATACTTGTCGAAGGTGCCCTCGTTTCTCTGCCACCAGTCCTCCATCCTTTGTTCTCGTTCAAGGTTCGTGACGGCGAGAACAATGGGAACCTTCTTCTTGCAGAGGAATTCGTGAAAGAGCCAATAATTGCCTTGAAGCGTAGTAGTGATTTTGCCGGCGCGAACGCAAAATAGAAGGAGATCAATGCCGCCTCGCCTATCCAATTCCCTGACGAGCTTATAGGCGTTTTCGACAGATTCGAGGTACTCTTTGATTTCTAGCTGCGATTCGTCGAGCCCGATGGTTTCGAAAACCGTGTACGAGTCACCGTCGAAGTCGATAGTATACTCATTCCACTGTGGCATTGTACAGCGTTGCGTGTCAGGAGATGTACGTGCTACCTCCTTTCCCGCCATGAGGTTGACGAGTGAGCTTTTTCCTGCTCCTGTCTCCCCAAACAGTACGATAGTTTTATGCCTGTTCTTGCTAATCACAGTCAGCAAAATGTGGCACGAGGAGCAACTGGAAACCAAGTACCTTGTAGCCATTTTAGGAGATACCTGGCGGATAGTGTCATGTTGCCTTTCGCCGGCATCCGACAGTGGACGTTGACCCCCTTTCGAGCGACACTTCTCGATAAGCTGAGAGACGGCGTGGTATGACTGTTTGTGGCGCCGCTCGAGCTCATCCCCTGCATATCTGTCGATAGTCGCTGTGGTGACACATGCGTGACCAGCAAAGGTCATCCCGAAGTCTGAGATGGATCGCACGTTATCCCTCCACCAGTCTTCCATTTCTGGTTCACGGTCTTCCAAACAAGTCACGACAAGGACGATTGGAACCCTCTCCTTCACTTCCGAGCGGATTAAATTGTAGTTGCGATAGAGCGCCTTCGTCGCTCTCGCACCCCGTACACAGTACATGAGGAGATGGATGTCAGTTTGCTTCATAAGATCTCGAAGGAGCGTTTTCAGAGCTCTTCGAGCGTCCTTATCAGAGACTTCTCCTTCAAAACCCTTGCCAAGACCTGTAATCTGGTTCAGCAACACATACCAGAGAGCGGCGAGCTGCACTGACCGACTGTATCGAAAAGCTTGACCTTCAAGGTCTCGTTCTGACTCGGAATTGAAATGTCGTACACATTTGTTTCAGTTGTACATCCCACAGCAGTGCAGGACGTCAGCGCCGTTCGCGTCCCAGCGACCAAATTGATCAAGGAGCTTTTGCCAGCGCCTGTTTCTCCAAAAATGACAACATTGCAGGTTTCCTCTTTGTGATTCGAAGCCTCACTCTGGTTTGGAATACGAATATGATTTCGCGTCAAATTTATGCTGAGGAAGCATCAAAGTTATCACTTACAGTACATAATTTGCCACCAACAGACGACATTGCAAAGATGGATCAACTCCAGACAAGACAGGAAAAAGCGAAGGGCAGGTATTGACTTTGCGTTTGGTGTTCTTGAGGTACTAGTATCTCCCGATTAGTTGAATCATTTGTCAGTAGTAAGTACGTCAGCCTCGGACGTACGTTCAGGTGCCAAATCAGGGAAAATGAACTACGACGCAAGGGTACTGCATGTTCCATACGCTGTTAGAACGATGTTGGATGTACATGCTCTAAGTAGCCAGAGTTAACTGTCGCCCAGGTGCAATGGCTGTGTAGCCCTTGATAAGGGTATGATATTAATTAGCAATGCAGAAGGGGGTCAACCGATCATGTATCATGAGGTAATTGATAAAGCTACAGACCGTGCAAGACGTGTTACAAACGCGAAGCGCCAATCTTCTCTTCGAAAAAGCGGTCACAGTGACGTGATAGTCGCAGCGTGCGTGATTTAATGTGCTGGCATTCCCTGGGGCCAGAGGCCCGAATATGAGGGAATAAGTCCTGGTTAAAGGATCATTTTCATTAGAGATTGAAGGGACTACGAAGGTCGATGAAGTGCACTGGCGGGCATCCTGTAAATATTGTGTTAATATGACGGACAGCTAAGGTTCTCGCAGATACTGATCAGCAGGCCATCGCACACGGAATACTGCATTGTCAGAACTCCCACAATTTTGATGCAGGAGGGTGAGTTTTTCCCAATTGATGTGTTACAGAATGAAATGCATAAAGTAAGCAAAATTGGGTTATCAAAGATTCATGCAAACCTTCGACACCACACAGCGCCATAAAAGCTGCGGAGGGTGGAAAGTCCACCCGCCGTCGACATGCTCACTTGCACACTCGTGAAGAGGTTGGCATTGCTGTCAAGATTGTACAGGATCTTGAAGCATCCTTCGGATGGGCACCTCCGCTCTCAATCAATCCACGTGATGCAGATAACCTTCTTGTTGGTCCAGAGAGTATCTCGTATGACGACAATATTGCTGCCGAATTTGCGGCTCCCGAAGAGTTGAAGAAAACCGAAGAAGTTCGGGACATTAACGAAGTTAAAGTGCTGGATCCGGAACAATGCTGGAGGGAGATGTTTTCGAGTTAGATCGGGTCGAACAAGGAACATTAATACCACAGGCTATTCTAGCTAGATTAGGTTGAGGTGGTTGATTACAATAACGAGGATGACGGGTGGGACGAGGCAACAATATTGACGTCATCGTTTGGAATGAAACATGTTTGCTTCACTAAGAGGGACAGTCACTGCGGAAGTGAGAAACTGATCAGACCATATTCCGAGGGAGAAAGGGCAAGTGAGCAGACACAAAACGTACCTAGCTGTTAATCCGACGCAAATCCGACGTATCGTAGATTTTGAAGCGAAGCCTTCGTTTGGTCCACAGCTACAGACGTAAACAGATGCTTTTCGGACTTCGCCACCATGTCTTTTCCGACGTCCGTTTATTCTCTTCAAATACTTGCTGTTCCAACACTAACTGACCCTGGAAATCCACTCTTTCGACGTCTGCATACGATTGGATTTAAGTGAGGTACGTTTTTCGAAAAATTTCTTCAAGTCCATCGTTAACTCGCACTATGTCGGACGACGCAGATCAGATCAAGCTTGAACTACCTTCGAAACTACAGGCATTCAGTTTTACCTTTGAAACCAAGCGGCCAGGGCCTATGGTAAGTTTTAGATTTAAATACAACCAACCAACTAAGTACCTTTGTAGAGAGTCGAAATCACGCTCAGACGGCCCACTAAGCAGCCCAGATTACTACAAGTTCCTGAACATGTCGACCTCAGCGCGACCGAGCCCGAAACTCCTGACCGACTTCAAGTCATGCGCTGGCAAGAGGCCCAGAAATATAAAGTAAGTACTACGCATCCTTGTAGCTAGCTAATCATACTAACTAATATGCTTGGAAGAAGTCTGCAGCTGGAATTGTGGCAAGGATCGATACAGAAGAGACCTTCAATAGTAGCGACACGGAGAAAGAGACTCCGGCAGAGTTCACCCGCTGGTACAAGGCCAAGAAGGCTGTAAGTTTGTTCCTTTGTCTGCGATATTGGCACTCAATATTATCTATCAGTTGAACGACCTAGCTCAAACTTCTCTCGTCGTGATGATACCATAGCATGAGGTCATGGGCATACAGAGCAGAGGAACAAGGCCCGGCAGCGCATGACCGCCAGCATTCGATAGCGGGGTTCCAGGAGTCAGTAGAGGTGGAAACTGGTATGGACTCGGGTTTGAGTCGTGGCCTGGGGAACCAAACTGGTATGGATTCGAGTTCGTGTCGTTCATTGGCTGATTTTCTGGAGCACCGCTAGGGCGGCGCTGTGCCCCGTACATCGTTAGGCGAACAAGGGGGCTGAGGGGAATGGGGAAAAGCCAGTGCGAAGCACCCAGAAGCTGGCAAATCCCCAGAATCATAGGGATCCGCACATTTGTAACTAGATACTAATCCGAGTCAATTATGATCATATTCAGACGCAAATCAGACATATGGTTTAGGTTCTACTGTTTCTGTGCACCTCTGCAACATCGAGTTTTCCAGTGTTGGATAACAGTCTGAATTGAGGATCTCTCCAGATTCTAACACCTCGGAATTTGTGTCATTTGCTACATCTGTTTAGATACTGTTTACATCGTCTTTTCGTACCCTTTCCAGGTCTGATCAGTTTCTCACTTCCGCAGTGAGTGTTGTAATTACGTATTCGGGGGGTTCCGCCTGTCAAAATAAGCAAACACGAAGGAAACCAATTTCATGCTCGAATATCTTTCTGAAGTTCACATGCACACATGATACATCCATCCGGTTCACAGGTTGCGTCATACTAGCGCATGGACATACAAACATGACAACCTTTATTCAAGTTGATAACCACAACGACAGCTATAATCGGATAAGGGTTCAACGGGAGGTCAAGCTAGTTTTGCTTGATCATATTAGCCACCTGTTGTGCGACGTCTGGAGATATGCCACAACGCTTCGTGAGATGAGGGACAAGATCCTTCCTTCTGACATTCGAACTCCCTATAATTAACCCCTTCAGCTTGCGCATCAACGACACAAACAGGTTGTCCCCTCCTATCCATGCCTGCTTCTGCCCGTCGGCAGTAAAATTCTTGACAAGGCTGCGGATCGTGACGCGCGATTCTTCATAAAGGACTTTGTGTCTGCCTTCCAATCCACTGGCGGCGGTAATGCACGCATGACCAGCGACCTTTATCTGAGACTTGTTGAGGGTGCCCTCGTTTCTCTCCCACCAATCCTCCATCCTCTGCTCTCTTTCGAGGTTCGTGATCGCAAGAACAATTGGAACCTTCTTCTCGCAGAGGAATTCGTGAAAAAGCCGATAATTACTTTGATGCGTAGCAGTGACTTTGCTGGCGCGAATGCAGAATAGAAGCAGATCAATGCCGCCTCGTCCATCCAATTCCTTGATGAGCTTATAGGCGTTGTCGACAGACTCGAGATACTCTTTAGTTCCCAGCTGAGGTTCTTCAAGCCCGCTGGTATCGAAAACCATATACGAGGCACCCTCGAAGTCGATAGTATACTCTTTCCACTGCAACGTACAGCGTTGCATGTCAGGAGATGTGTGTGCTACCTCCTCTCCCGCCATGAGGTTGATGAGTGAGCTTTTGCCTGCTCCCGTCTCCCCAAAAAGTACGATAGTTTTATTCCTGTCCTCTCTTGTTAATATCGAACAAATACATCTAGAGACTACGTGCCTGTCAGGAGCCGGTGGTCCAGTGGTACCCGAATTGGAACTCGAAGTCGTGCCATACGGCTCAGTCCTAAATATCAATATAAGAAACTACAGTACGAAAAGTATCTGAAGACTACGTACTCTGAAGCCATCGAAGAGGGATGCTCCTGATAGTGCTCAATTGAAGCGTTTTACCGACATTGAATGATGTGGCAGCTCTTATAAAGATAGACGCAGACTTGCAGGAGACCACGTTTCTTGCGCCCATCCTTCAGACGCCAACCCGTGGTATTGAAAACACCATATTTTCAAACAACTCGAGGCAAACTCGTGTTGGACTCGAGGCTTTGATTAGTATGAACCACCTGTCGAAAGAGATAATAAGTCATAGTTCTTGAAAACCGAATCTCACGTTCATAGTGTGCGTTGATCACAGACAACGCGGCAGCAACTAAGTACGTCAAAACTGCTGATTTCTTTTGATCCCTGCATGAAGTCGTGCTGTTCCCAACATCGGACGGAAGATCAGTAGAGGTATACTTTGGGGCAGTATTGTTACTAACCTGGGTGAACATAGGTTTGAAAATCCAGAAACAAGTTTTCAAATTACATAACAAAGACCTGCTTGAGTTTGATGCTTACGGCGTTGGTGATGGAGCAACGCGATTGGTGGAACAAACTTATATCCATAGTAAAATAATGCGGTAGTGTCATGGTTGTGAATCAACTAGGTACCACACACATTTTGACAGCAACCTGCTGACGGCAGAGGACAGGCCTTCGGAATGATACTAGGTCTGAATCACAGTGCTGTGGATGTTGCTTACCTGTGTTAAAAATTACGAGTATTCAACCTCTAAATTTTGTAGGTCGAAGGGTGGCCGCCAATGTGCCTGGGGTTGTCCACGGAGTCCAGCGACACAAGTACTCAGTGGTAAGTACGACAATGCATGACTGGCAAAATATATCTCATGTTGGTAACCAGCGAATTCACGTTTGCCCGGGCTTACTTGCGTGGAGACCCTCAACCTGCGCATTTATATAATGCGATTTGAGCGACATGCATCGCGAGAAATAATTGTTTGGAAATATGTGCTATGTACCGATCCATAAGGGTAAGGCCGTATTACCGACAACGACAGTCTATAATCGGATGAAACATAAGTTCAACGGGAGTTCAAGCTACGTTTTGCTTGATCATATTAGCCAACTGTTTTGCAACGTCTGGAGATATACCACAACGCTTCGTGAGATGAGGAACAAGATCCTTCCTTGTCAGATGCGAACCCCCTGTGAGTAACTCCTTCAGCCTGCGCATCAACGACACGAACAGGTTGTGCCCTCCTGTCCATGCCTGCTTCTGCCCGTCGGCAGTAAATTCCCTAACAAGGTTACGGATCGTGATGCGCGATTGTTCATAAAGAACTTTGTGTCTGCCGTCCAATCTGTTGGCGGCGGTGATGCATGCATGACCCGCGACCTTTATCTGATACCTGTCGAAGGTGCCCTCGTTTCTCTCCCACCATTCCTCCATCCTCTGCTCTCTTTCGAGGTTCGTGATCGCAAGAACAATTGGAACCTTCTTCTCGCAGAGGAATTCGTGAAAGAGCCGATAATTGCTTTGAAGCGTAGCAGTGACTCTGCCGGCGCGAACGCAGAAGAGAAGCAAATCGATCCCGCCTTTATCATCCAATTCCCTGACGAGCTTATAGGCGTTTTCGACAGATTCGAGGTATTCTTTGATCCCCAGTTGCGGTTCCTCGAGCCCGATGGTATCGAAAACCATATACGAGGCACCCTCGAAGTCGATAGTATACTCTTTCCACTGCAACGTACAGCGTTGCATGTCAGGAGATGTGTGAGCTACCTCCTTGCCCGCCATGAGGTTGACGAGTGAGCTTTTGCCTGCTCCTGTCTCCCCAAAGAGTACAATATTTTTAGGCCTGCCTTCGCTTGTTAATATTGAGAAATTTACGGAACTTCATCTGGAGACTACATGCCTGACAAGAGGATCTGGTGGTCCAGTGTTAGTGAAACCCGAAGGAGTGCCATGCGGCTTAGTCCTACATATCAATGAGACAATTACAGTACGAAGAAACATCCGAAGACTACGTACTCTGAAGCCATTTAAGTGGGATGCTCCTGATAGTGCCCAATTGAAGCGTTTTACCGATACTGGATGATGCGGCAGCTCTTATAAAGACAGACGCAGACTTGCAGGAGATCACGTTTCTTGCGCCCATCCTTGAGACGCCAACCCGTGGTATTGAAAACGGCACCCGTCAGATTCTGGAACAACGAGGCAAACTCATGTTGGACTCGAGGATTTGATTAGTAACCACCTGCTGAAAGAGATAATAAGCTATACTAATAGTTCTTCAAAAACGAATCTCACGTTCATAGTGCGTGTTGATAACAGACAAGACAGAGCTGCAACTACGTCAAAGCTGCGTATAGTGCTATTTCTTTTGATCCTTGCATGAAGTCGTACCGTTTTCGAGGGCCAAGGCACCTGCCTGACTCGTCTATATCCCAACATCGGACGGAAGATCGGTAGAGGGACACTTTGGGGCAGTGTTGTTGTTAACTAATAACCCCGAGTTATAAAACTGAATAAAATTAAATCGGTCAACACAACAAAGTTAAATAACAGTTAATTACGTCAAGGTGCGAGAGTCCATAACGATCGAGCTCGATTCCATACCTGTTGTCGTACTCTCTTCGTCCTCGGGCAGGCGTGACACTGGCTTGTAGAATAAAGCATCGCTTTCCGTGTTTTTTTACGCGTTGGAACCAGAACTCGTCCTATCCGACCTCAAGCTCCAGACCAATTGAACATGTCGCGAATGCAAATCATCCTCTTCTGACCGAAGAAGTGACGAATTTGTCGCAGCCTGCCCAGTGCTGCCTTTCGAACCTGAGATGTCATCGATTCATCTTCAACATCATCAACTTCTCCCAACCCCATATATTCCTCATTATCGTCGTCACTATCTTGCCTCAACTGCAGTCCAACAACCGAAAATGAGGACGGTGGAGGGCCGTTGCTCTCGGGTCTTGTCAACCTGCCGCTTTCTTTTCCACATTCAAATGGGTCTTGACATTGCCAGGGACATATTGACAACCTAACAGATGGGTTTGCCCTTATCGGCAATATGAGTGACATTATCGCATGCTGTTCAAGTCCGTTATACATTTCATTTATGAAACACATCCTATCGACAAAAACTCACCTTCTTGCATCACAATTGTGCGAGTCCTGAGCCTGCAGGATCTCGTGTGCGATGGCCTGCTAATCAGTATCTACGAGAACCTTAGCCGCCACATTGACACAATATTTACAGGGTGCCCGACAGTGCACTTGATTGATCTTCGTAGTCCTCTGATGAAAAGGATCTCATAGCCATGACTTCTCCCTGCCCATCGGAGCAGCTTGGAGAGGTGACAAGACAGTCCCGGGAGAATGGCTCAGAGAGATCAATGATAAAGGTGCGGCAACCCCCAATTAATTCCTAGTACATTAACCCTACTACAAAATCGCAGATCCATTCAACTAACCTCTTCACCGGTTAACCTGTCAACCGGTTATAACCAGGCTAGTTAGTAACAACATCGCTTCGGGAAATTATTCGCCCAGATCTGGGTCTCCGGCCTCAGGGATTGCAAACACATTAAATCATGCATGCTGCTACTATCATGTCTCTGGCACCGCTTTTTCAAAGAGAAAATTGACGCTTCGCGTCTGGGATGTGTCTTGCGCGGTCTTAATCAATTACCTCATGATACATGACCGCTTGACCCTCTGCCGCATTGCTAATTACACCCTAGTTATATCCAGGACTACACAGCCACTGCACCTGTGGTCAACTTCAGCTACTTGGAGCATGTACAACTAGCCAAACGCATACGCAGCATGGTTCTTACGCCATACAACGTCGTTCCAACAGCGTATGGAACATGCAGTATCCTTGCGTCGTAGTCAATTTCCCTGATCTGGCTCCTGGACGTCCAAGTCCGGCGTACTGACGGATGCATTCAACCAATCGGGAGGCACTACCTCAAAAACATTAAACGCACAAGTTAAGACCTGCCCTTCGCTATTTCTTGTCTTGTCTGGAGTTGAGCCATCTGTACAATGTCGTCTGTTGGTAGAGAACAATGTACTGTAAGTAATGATTCTGGTGCTTCCTCAGCATAAATTTGACGCAAAGTTATTTCACATTCCAAACCAGAGTGAGGCTTCGCATGACACAAAAGAAACTTGCAATGTTGTCATTTTTGGAGAAACGGGCGCTGGTAAAAGCTCCTTGATCAATTTGATCGCCGGGACGCAAAGAGCGCTGACGTCCTGCGACGCTATGGGATGTACAGCTGAAACAAATACGTACGACATTTCAATTCAAAACGAGACCTTGAAGGTAACGTTTGTCGATACAGTTGGTCAGTGCAGTTCGCCACTCTTTGGTGGTTGTTACTGAACTGGATTACAGGTCTTGATGAGGGCTCTGAAGGAACAGTCCCCGATAAAGAAGCTCAACAAGTTTTGAAGAAACTCATTCAAAATTTTCGAGATGATGTTCATCTCCTCATGTACTGCGTGCGAGGTGTGAGAGCTAGGAAGGCGCTCTACCGCAACTACAACTTCGTCCGCTCTCAAGTGAAGGAGAGGGTTCCAATCGTCCTTGTCGTGACTTGTTTGGAAGACCGTGAACCAGAAATGGAAGACTGGTGGAAGGATAACGAACGACTCATCTCAGACTTCGGGATGTCCTTTGCTGGCCACGCATGTGTCACCACGGTGACTATCGACGATAATGTAGGAAATAGGCTCAAGCAGCGCCATAACCAATCATACCTCGCCGTCTGTCAACTTATCGAGCAGTGTCGCAGGAAAGGGCATCAACGTCCACTGTTAGGTGCTGGTGAAAGGCAACAATACACTATCCAGCAGGTACCTCCTAAAATGGCTGCAAGGTACTCGGTTTTCAGTTTCTCCTCGTGCCACATTTTGCCAACCTTCAGAAATAGAAACAGCATCGTACTCACTGGGGAGTCGGTGGCTAGCAATGGCTCACCTGCCAATGTCAAGGAAATAGCAGCCATGTACGCTGACCAGCAGTTCAATACCACTAACAGGTACGTGGTCGGATATTGTTTATACTGTATTGATAAGCAAGAACAGGCGTAAAGTCATCGTGGTTTTTGGGCAGACGGGAGCAGGAAAAAGCTCACTCGTCAACCTCATGGCGGGAAAGGAGGTAGCTCACACATCTCCTGACACGCAACGTTGTACAATGCACTGGAAAGAGTATCCTATCGACTTTGACGGTGGCTCGTATATGGTTTTCGATACTATTGGGCTCGAGGAGCCGCAACTGGGAATCAAAGAGTACCTCGAGTCTGTCGAAAACGCCTATCGGCTCCTCAGGAAATTGGAAGAAGAAGGCGGCATCGATCTGCTTCTATTCTGCGTTTGCGCCAGCAAAGTCACTGCCACGCTTCAAAGCAATTATCGGCTCTTTCACGAATTCCTCTGCGAGAAGAAGGTTCCTATTGTTCTCGCCATCACAAACCTAGAGAGAGAGGTGAGGATGGAGAATTGGTGGGAGAGAAACGAGAGCACCCTCGACAAGTATCAGATAAAGGTCGCCGGTCATGCGTGCATCACCGCTGCCAATAGATTGGACGGTAGACACAAAGACCTTTACGAACAATCGCGCATCACGATCCGCGACCTCGTTAAGGAATTTGCTACCGACGGGCAGAAGCAGGCATGGATGGGAGGGCACAACCTGTTCGTGTCTTTGATGCGCAAGCTGAAGGGGTCACTTACAGGGGGTTCGCATGTGAAAAGGAAGGATATTATTCCCCGTCTCACGAAGCGTTGTGGCATATCTACAGAGGCCGCAAAAGAGTTGGCTAACATGATCAAGCAAGACATAGCTTGACCTCCCATTGAACTCATGTCTCATCCGATATTGTCCCTCATCTCACGAAGCACTGTGGCATATCTCCAGACGTTGCAAAACAATTGATCAATATGATAAAGCAAGGCGTAGTATGTAACAGCTATTTAACTTCCCCTCTTCGATAACCCAATTTTGCTTACTTCACTGTGGATAGCAGTGTCGGATATCTTGACGTCTCGTGCTATTACTCTTCATTCGTTTCATTTCGCGAGCGCTTACGGCGCACATGCAGCATACTCATAGTTTACATTATCACTAACACGGACAGGTATGTGGTTGTCGACATCCATGTTATTCCACCTGTCTTTTTCACTCAGACTGAGGTGAGAAGAACATTACATACATTATCGTACTCGATTGCTATCAACGTTTACACTAGTCGCCAACGCTCGCTACTCGCATCGAGTACTAACCTTCTGAGTCTACTAGTACTGCCGATAACATGCTTGATATTTGGAATCAGTCTAAGTCAGATATGGCCCCCACGTGGCCCATACTTAGCGCCTCGTCGTTTAGCATGGAGTACATGAAGTGCAGCTGTTGCTGCAAAGAGTTTGGTCATCTCTACATCAGCCAGTAGGATGATGGCAAGTGCTTCGAGAGACGTTATAGCGTGAGGGGAATCTACTATGGTAGCGTGAACGTGTTTCAACAACGTCTGGGACTCGGGGGGGAGATAGTTTGGGGCTCGTGTGTGGAAGGAATTATCACCCCTACTCATGATACCGATTTTATTTCGTCATTTTATTTACATAACAGTTCGTGTAAAAGCGTCTGGAGTAAAATGCAAGGCTTCGACACGTTTGGCACGCAGGAGTCTTTGGACTGTATTCGTCAGCCCAGAGGAGCCTGGCACGTGGGCGCTGGGAAAATACTACCAAAATGGTCGTCTCGACATAATCTTCGCTGGGCTGGACTCTGAACTCACAGTGCTTAAGCTTGCTGACACTGCTACAGGGCTCCAGGTCTGCTATCGTTTTAAATTAACCTGTATGCCAGTCTTGCCAACTCGACAAGCCAGCTCCGTCTCCAAGGCACATGTACGAACTGCCAGTGCATAACCAACATGCTGCCATGCTGCAACAGGTTGCATACTAATATGCCGTTCGATGTTAGCTTTCTCGCATCTATGGAACGGCATGGAATAACATGCTGAATACATGAGTCGTGATCGTTATTCAAATACGGCGCCTCGAACACCGGTGTTCTGGGAAATTTTCCTGAAGGCATCAGACTGGGACTCTAAAAAAGAATACGCTTGCAAGTCGAGACTGCCTCTCACTATTAACCTTGTTTCAAGTTGAGTCTTTTTAATCATGTCTTTATCTACTCAGAGCCGACCATGTACTGTAAGTGGTGTTTGACTCTTCGTCAGCATACTATTGACTTAGTGCTGATCAGAGTCCCAATGGTATCGACGATATTCGAGCCAGAGAAGTTTTACATCCCACGGAAACATGCAATATTGTCATTTTTGGAGAAACAGGAGCTGGTAAAAGCTCCTTGGTCAATTTGATCACTAGGAAGCAATCGGCGGCAACGTCCTCCGACGCCATGGGGTGTACCACTAAAACAAAGATGTACGAGCATGACGTTGCGATTCAGAACAAGACCTTGAAGGTAAAGCTTTTCGATACAGCCGGTAAGTGCAGTTAACCGTTCTTGGCGGGCCTCACTGACTTCATTGCAGGTCTTGATGAGGGCTCTGAGGGAACGGTCCCCGATAAGGAGGCTCAAAAAGTTTTGAAGAAGCTCCTTCAAACCCTTGCGGAGCAGGATGGTATTCACCTCCTCATATACTGCGTGCAGGGCACGAGAGAGAGCATGGCGCTCCGCCGGAACTACAAGTCGTTCTATTCTAAAGTCAAGGAGAAAGTTCCGATCGTCATCGTTGTTACACGTTTGGAAAACCAAAATCCGGACATGGAAGAATGGTGGAGGAAGAACGAGCAATCCATCTCAAACCTCAACATGACTTTTGCTGGCCACGCATGCGTCACCACAGTAACCATCGATGAAAGTGACAGTGATGACCTCAAGGAACGTAGCGAACAGTCGTACCATGCCCTCCGCGAACTTATCGAGCAGTGTCGCTTGCCTAATGAGAAAGGTTTCCGCGACGTCGAATGGGCGTGCGATGACCATGAAAGAGACCACCCACGAAGCGTAATTGTCTGCGACTCTGCCGTCCTAGCCCCCCTGAATGTTTGCAACATCGCGGGTGTCATTAATGGCGCATGGGTCAGATCCACGGTAGTCATGCGCGGCCATTACTACATGTTCCAGCGCGTAACTGCACCCTATCCACCCGCAAAACGGTCCAAAGGAGGTGTTGGTTTCGAACCTTGCTTGTTAATTTTTTATGTGGACAAGAACGAGTCTGTCAATACGCAGAGAATGGAGGTGCAGAAGTTTCGCAAGGTCTACGCGAAATCCAAGGTCGGCTTAGTTGTTGTGGTCTGTGGCTGCGACAGTGATGAAGATGCGAAAGGATGGTGGGAGGGGTCAAATGACACTGGCAAGGACTCATTGTTAGCGCCATCCACTACCTTCACTTACTTACCTCGGGATGGGTCGGAACGTTCTGAAAGTGCTCAAGAAGCACTCCAAAAGTTGATCTGGGAGCTATCTCGCACTGGAGAACCTTGTACTTCTGTGTTCCGAGACCTTCTCAATCGTGTATTGGGGTATCTCATAAGAGTAGTCTAGCATAATTTCCCAAACGTCCGCAGCCTTGAATGTAGATGGTGGTCGGTTCAGACAGCAGGCGATTGAGAGGCTTCTAGTGAGTGATTGGGCATTAACTCTCGAGTAAACCGATACTAAATACATATGTTCGGATTCATGAAGTCCAGTACAGTTCAGATGACACTCTATACCAGTATTATAAGAGTAAATTATGAGCGACTCCAAGTCTCTTTCTTCTAGTCCACCCGTGGACCTGCCAACCTCACGCTTTCTTGCACATCGCTTTCGTACAACTTGAACGCCTTTTGGAACATGCCCGCAAGCTTGCGAACCTCACGTTCAAAAGCCTCCTTATCTGCCCAGGCCAGACGCGGGTTGAGCACTTCGCGTGGAACACCCTCTACCGCGGTAGGAATCTGGAGCCCGAAGCCGCCAAAGGTCTCATATTCGCTATTGAGAAGCTCCCCGGAGTGTACGGCATCGACGATGCGGCGGGTGTATTTGAGTGGGCAGCGCTTGCCCGTGCCGAACTTACCACCTGTCCAGCCCGTGTTGATTAACCAGCAGGGCACGTTGTGCTTAGACATGCGCTCGGCCAGCATTTCTGCATAGCGTCCAGGCTGACACAGGAAGGCTTAGCTTAGAAGTTCCTAGGAAGAGATAAAAACTCACGTGTAACACAATGAAAGGTGCGCTGTAGCAGGTCGAGAATGTTGGGATAGGTTCAAGGACACCGTCCTCCGTGCCAGGCGTTTTCCTTCGGAATTGACTCAGCGAGTAGCACCGACGGAAGTGAAAAATACACTTACGAGGTGTAACCAGCAAGGAAATGGTAGCTTGCTTGCTCTGGGGTAAGTTTACTTACAGGTGGAAGGACACCGAACGCGTCACACGTCAACATGATGATGTTGCTCGGTTGTCTGTCCACCATGCATGGGATCTTGGCGTTTGGAATGTATTCGATTGGGTATGCGCAGCGTGTGTTCTCCGTGATGCTAACATCGTCGTAATCCGGCACGCGCGACAAAGGGTTGTATACGACGTTCTCCAGAATGGAGCCGAAACGAATGGCATTGAATATTTCCGGCTCCTTCTCGCTCGACAGGTTGATGCACTTGGCATAGCATCCTCCCTCGATGTTGAACACCCCAGTGTCCGACCACACGTGTTCATCATCGCCAATGAGAAGGCGGTTTGGATCAGCGGAGAGAGTGGTCTTTCCAGTTCCGGAAAGGCCGAAGAACAGGGTGACATCGCCCTTCTCCATCCCGACATTGGCAGACGAGTGGAGGGAGAGCTGGCCAAACTTCACAGGTTGAAGATAGTGCATGACGGAAAAGACTCCTTTCTTCATCTCGCCGGCGTACTCAGTGCCGAGGATGACCATTTCCATGCGCTTGAAGTTGATTTCCACCGAAGTGGCGGAGGACATGCCCTTGGTGAAGCGGTTCGCAGGGAACTGACCGGCATTGTAGATAATGAAGTCGGGCTCGCCAAAACTTGCGAGCTCTTCCTCGGTCGGGCGGATCAACATGTTGTTCTTCCAGGTTGTCAGAAGATGAAATACATGTGATTGTATTTACATACCATGAAGAGAGCATGATATGCACGGGCACAAATGACCCGGACCTTGATACGGTATTTCGGATCCCACTAAAAACGGTGAGCAGTGCAAGCCCGTGCAGTTGAAACACAGGACTTACACCAGCAAAACCATCGAAGACGTAGACATTGTCACGCGTATTCAAATAGTCGATGGCACGCTCGCGGTTGATCTCAAACGTGTCTGGAAACAATTGCTGAGACAATGGACCGAGGCGGCGTGCAACGGAGTAAACTCACGTTCGTCCATCTTAATATTCACGGAGCCCCACCATATATCATCCTTACTCGTCTCCTCATAGACGATTCGCTTGTCCTTAGGACTTCTACCGGTCTTCTTACCAGAGAAGTTGATAAGTGCGCCGGATGAGGAGATAATTGCGCCTTCATTGCGGATGGCGTCTTCGTAAAGCTGGGCTACAGGTGCGTTGCGCTTCAGCTGGATCCTATCCATGTCAAACCCTGCCTGCGAGAAGTACTCGAGGTCACGGCCAATGACTGTTTGAAATATTTAGGTGGATAGGAGGTATAGTAGTTGGGCGCACTGACGGTTACTATGAAATTCATTGTCAAAAGCCTGGGCGTAATTTTTGTGTAAGATGTGGGGTGTAACATAGGGTGTCTGGTGGGGATGAACCATTGTGGTGAACGAATATGAAGAAGTCTGATGAGATTGGTCAACAAAGAGTCCAAAGGTGTAAAAATCAAGACAATAAAAAAATTGATGATGATGACGACGATGATGATCCGAGCAAGATCCGTGGTGAGGACCGGAGTGAACTCCGCCTGTTCGGGTACCCCGCATGGGATGATTTATAGGGCTGGCATTGATGGTAACAATGACAAGGCACTTACTCTACGATGCGAATCACGATCGCGAATTAGATGATGGCGGTTGAAACGATATACGAAAGTCGAGTTTTTGGAGGGTTTTATACCAACGACGAGGCATCGGAACCTCATCCCATAATCGCCCGATGGTGTCAATGGCTATAGCCTATGTGGCGTACTACACCTCCGGAGTCCGCTCAGAGCCCCCTTTATCCCATGGTGCCCGTTCCTGAACGCCCGGAAGGAACCGGCACCACACATCCAGCTGAGCGCCAAGCATTCACCTTCCTCTTACCGAATTTCCTTCATCACGACGCGGCGTTACATCACTCAATTCGAGCGCTCCTTCCACATTGCTGTCGCTCGCTCACGCATTTTCCTGCAAGACACTTCCTTACCGTTCCTATTTCTCTCCTGCCTTTCATCGCGGATTCTGCTGCCCTTTTATTATTATTATTATCATTTTATTTTAATTTCTACATCGACACTCTTCATACCGCGCCTACCTAAATACCCATTCCTTCTCGCGCGCGAGTCATTTCGAAGCCTATCCATCATAATACCCGGCCCAAGCCTCCCCAGAATTCACCAGCCCTTCAAGCCCTAGGATTTCGACCCTACATGTAGAGAAATACGCTACGTCCATCATATATCCTTCTGCTTCTCGTTATCCTGACCAGCCTTCCTCTTCCTACCGTTGCTATCAGCAATCCGGAGCCATTCAATCCATCACCTTGGCAGCTTCCATCACTAAGTCCTAAGCCATTTCACCTTACAATCGTCGTTTGTTTTCGTCCTGCAAATCATATTCTTTATCCGTCTCGTTCCATCACAAACTGTTTGCTCGCCGCCACCGCTACCTGTCTCATGCCAGTCAAGAGTTATCGAGAGCCGCGTTGTCTCACGCTTCATGACCTGGACTCGCTGTAAGTTAAGTGCTCGTTACCGAGGCCACAGGCTGCATACGCGCTCGGCCATTATGGTCATCATGTTTCGATCGCAACACGCACACCTACTCCATACCCGTCACTACTGTTATGGGTAACTTGCCTGTTATTACTGTCATGGTCTTCTCGCCCTTACTGTTGTTGTGGGCTTCATACCTGCTACCGCTGCCCGAGCTGCACATCCACTGTCATCATCATAAGCTCCGTGGTCATCATCATGGTCTTGGGTGACAGATCCGTCATCACCGTCATAGGCTGCAGGCCTATTGTCACCTTCGCGGCTGCAGGCCCGTTTTACCATCGAAGGCTAAAGGCCTATGTCACCGTCATGGGCTGCAGGCCTGTCGTACCGTTGAGGGCTAAAGGCCTATTGTCGCATCGTGGGCTACAGGCCCGTTTTCACCGTCGAAGGCTATAGGCCTATTGTCACTGTCATGGCCGCAGCCCTGTTGTACTGTTGGGGGCTAAAGGGCCTATTGCTACCGTCGAGAGCCGCAGGCTTGTCATTACCACAGTGGGCTACAGGCCCGCTCTCACCATCATAGGCCATGGGCTCGTTGCATCCATTGCCAACTGAATGATCATGACTGTCATAGGCTGCGCGTCCGTCGCTGCTGCGTACCCAGTGCCTCTGTTATTGATGATTCACCCACAGCAGGCTGCATGCCGTTTCTTGCCAGTCTGCGGTCGCACATCTATTTCCCTTTAACCAAAGGCAGGTTGCAAGCCTGCTCTTACTGTCCTGGACCAGATACTATCCTTTCCTTTGCCGTTACAGATGTATGCCCGTCTCCCCTTCTGCCATCGCATAACACCCATACCATTACGAGCTTTATTCCCTTACGGCTATCTGGATTTGCTCACTATATCTTCCGTAGTCGTAGCGAATTCTCTTGTTGTCAGCATACTAGTTTCTGTCCCTCGTTTTAATGCTGCCCAAATCTCTACCGGATCACGGCGAGGCGTCAATCTGGGACACTTTTGCTCACCCTATATCAGGTGTCCGTGCAAACCTCTTGTGGTTGTCATAAGCGGCCTTTATGGGTGCGTTTGTATCAGTTAAGGTTCACCGCCAACCTTTCCATTGATTCGTCAACCCCTTTCCCTTACCGCATCGCTCGCCCAGCCGCATCAGTTTTTCAGTACCGCGTATGGCAGCGCTCGACGAGTACTTCTCCGTGGCCCGCTGTCAGCAATTGTGCACCATTGTGTATTTTGGATCAGGTTACCTCTACCTATCTCTGCCGGCCCATGCACAGCGCCTGGCGTTCGTCACCACTCTGAGTAGTGTGATATTCGCCAGGCTAGATAAGCAGCCGTGTTGCTGAATTCTGCCGTGCTGGGGCCCTCGACACCTGTATCCTTACTTAGCATCTTGTGCATTCACCACCCTCTCATTCCGACTGGCCGTCACCTCGGCGCACTGAAGCATACTTAGCTCAGTTTCAATTGCACTATTGCCCACCAGCTGCCTTCACACTGGTTCATGTGGAATATCAGCAGCAATATGAATTCCGTATTTAGCATCCGGTGTTATAGCACCAGCCACCACATAACATAGCCCTCCGCTCTGAAGCACATTGAACCTCCACCAAATGATTATTACTTCATCAACATGTCACCTATGCCCGCGCAGGTCCATGTCAGCGCTTCCTCCATACCCTAGTAGCATCAGTTCTTGACCTGTCCTGTGGCACCTATTGAGATCACTCCATTATATTATTTCATCTGTGATTAGTAACCACATCAGGCTCATCCCATCAGCTATCAGGTATTGCATATTCCCCATCGTTACCTGGCTCCGTGCTTCGTCTACCTGCCCTATGCATGCTTCCCGAATTGTGCTGGATTTCCCTTTGGACACCAGATGGCAACTTAGTAGGTGCCAAGATCATGTTGATCTTCACCTCTGTTTTTCTTATCCTCTGGCCTCAATTCCACCTAGTACCTTGGTTTGGATTCACAGATACATCTGATCTGCGGCTATCAAAGCTACTTCTACTGATATCCACATCTCAATATTCAATTCCTTTCCTCCAGTTCGGAACCGATTCGGCCTCATGGCTTGATGTATTACACTACCCACTACCCTGCTTACGTCTTTAATTTAACAATCCTTCATATATATAGCAGCTCTCCACTGCAGTTTCCTGCATAGTATCAAGGCCTCTGTTTTGGGAAAGGGAACAAGCGAGAGCAAACACGGGACTCTGAATGAAATATTTTCGAAAGACGAAAGAAGGGACTCGGCACGTGATGCGAGGGATGACCCGATATGGGCTAGCGCGGGGACGGGGACGTCTTGGGGGGTGCGGAGGGAACAACATCTTCATAACCGAACCCATTTATAAATATCCTATATAATGCACATCGGGTGTTAATCGATACATCCACCAGTTACATCAAGCAAGTTCTGCAAATCCTACCCTCGTGTTTGCGTAATCAAACACCGGATGTTGGTGTTGCAACTGACGCGACAGTAGTGTGCCCCATGCTGCTTGGGTCAAGTACCGTAGGACTCATAAATAAGACGGCGAATGACTTGTTCTGATCGCTGTCGACGTGCGCGCATCGCGAGTGAGGATGTTGGATCATCTGGGAGAGAAGTGATACAAGCGTGTGCGGAGAACCGCATTCCGAGGCGTTCCAGATTGTCCTTATTTTTCGTCCACCACGCATCCATGTTCTTGGGATAATTTTCCAAGGAGGTGACCACAGCGGCAACCGGTACGCCACCTGCCACAGTGGCTGTGGAGCCAACGACGTCAGTGAAGAATTTATAATCCTTGATCAGTGCTCTCTGGGCCCTCGATCCCCTCATGCAATATAGAAGAAGGTAGACTCCGTCATCTCTGTACAGCTTCTTGTATGACTTTTTCAGGCGCCATTTTGTAAAAAGGGTCTGGAAAAAACCCATTGATGCGGTCGAGGAAACTTCCCAAAGTTTGAATTGGCGATCTCCAAGACTGACTTGATGGGAGGTATGCTGCAATGTGCAGGTTGCTGCGTCTGGCGACGTCTGTGCAACGTCGCGTCCCATAATCAAGTTGATGATGGCGCTCTTTCCAACTCCAGTCTCCCCGAAAAGTAACACATTCAAAGGACCTGCATCTGACTTGACCGCATGGGAGAATCAGTACACATAAACACAATGCACCACTAGATTCTCACCAGCGACAAGGCTGTAGAGAAAAGATGATGTGTTAAAGGACTAGAGGGAACGGGATTGGGTGACGACGGTCCAGTAGAAATCCTAGACTGGTTGATAAACATCTAAGCCAAATTACTTCAATCGCAAGGTGGCCAGTTCATACCAGCTCCGCGACCAAATATGTATTTTGATAGTTTTCTTGTACCCCGCTAACAAGGACATCCTATCAGAGTCAGCCACCCTACTCCTACATGACGAGATAAATCATGAGCTTACATCCTGTTTCAAAGCCTCTAGTTCCCCGGTTATGAAGTTCATAGCCGTTAGGGCACATGGACGAGCAGATGGATCAATTGACCAACACTGCCCGATATGATTCCAACGGGTGTCTGTGACGTCAGACGTCGCCTCGGATACCTCAGGACGCGGGACATCCTCTCCATTTTGTATTTTTTGAAGGACTTTGTACTCGTCAATGTCATGCCAAGGAATAATCAGAGTCAACAACTGGGGTGAATGATACATTAAATGTAAATTTGTGGACTCAAAACGCTTACACTTACATGGAACATGACACGACCAAAGGAATACATGTCGTTCTGCGTGGATGGTTTGACATCGTCTGGTGACCCCATCAACTCGGGCGCAGTCCATCTGATTGCGCCAGGCCGAACAACTGTTGATGCTTCAATCGAGCACTCTTTTAAACGTTCGCAGAGGACATTTGACAAGCCGAAGTCCGTCAGGTAAGCCTTGTATTCTCCTTCCTTGAAATCCACCAAAACATTAGACTGCATTTATTAGTGAGTGCAATTGAATGTAGAGGATGAGCTCACGCTCGTAATGTCACCGTGAACAACGGGAAAAGAGTGAACTAACGGCAAATTTAATAGTTGAAACAAGATGACCGTGAAGGGAATACAAACTATAGTAGAGCCCAGATGCTATGTCGTGAAGCTGGTGAATAAGTATAATTCAGTTTGGGTCCATTATAGCCAAATAGGTTTGAGTTACCAGCTTCAATTTGGACTTGATGGTTAATGTAGCACCCTGTTCTGTGATCAGACGGGACAGCGTGCCGTGCGGAAACCACTGGGAGACAAGGGCTGTAGTTGACCCGAGCCCCTCTGTCGTTCCATAAAGTGTGACGATATTGTCGTGGACGAGGTGTGCCCATATGGCAGTTTCTCGTCGAAACCTCTAACGAATCCACGTAAAATAGTGTTCAAAACCAAAAAAAAAAATAGACCCTCACTCTCAAGTCCTGCTCTGAGACGTTATCCATGTGATGCCTGAAGGTTTTTACTGCGACCTGTAGTGCGATAATAGACAGGCTGATCAGCAAGTGACGCCAGCGCTGTCCACTGGCCAGACCTTGACAGGGCCCGACGGTTTTCTCCATTCACATCTGTAAACGTTTGCGAATGCACCACCGGCAACGTAATCCTTTATTCCACCGAAGATCTGGCCTGTCAGATCTTCTGCTAGTGCCAGTTGTATTCCGGGACTAAAAAAAGGGAGCTGAATTAACGAAGACTTGTTTCAGTATGAACACCCTACAGAGGTGGAAGTTCCGAGGTGGATGCCTAAGTAAAATATATCAGGATCCGGCACTGATTGGGATAACAGTGGACTTGTGCAAACCTGTGAGTTGTCATCCCTAGACCGGGTGTTGCACTCAGGGACTTTTTTGTTCCCCGTGGACTGCCCTGCGTCCCGTTGACTCGAGGTGCAGGGTTCGTCATAGACAGTGTTGGAACGCGCTGCCGTAGTAGGTACTGTTCTGCCCCCGGGAAGTCCTCTTTGGGAGCCTGAACGTGTGAAAAGATTGACTGTCAAAATACGTTGACCACTTCCATTGTGCACAGCCTTAGATTTCGAGGTTACGACCGACGGCTGAGGTGGGTTGGACATTTGGAACGTTGTCCGTCGAGTGGTGAGTTCGAGTCTAAATCATGAGAGGGCGCTAGTCCCATATGCTGGAAACTTAGAATTTAAGCTCCAAGCGATATAGCGTGGGGTCATCCTGTGTCATCGTGCATCGTGCATGCCCATTGCCCAATGATATTATTGGCATCCGCTCAACATCCGCTAATAGATAGCCTACTAGCGCCTATAAATTAAAACTCCTCTAGAAAGTCACTAGTATGGACGACGACTGATATACACAGCACAGACATTTTTGGCATCAAGTGGCAAGTGGTCGCGAACGATCATCGTCGATTAAGTGAAGTACTTACTGTTAGTTTGTACGCAGAGAAACTATAGGATTTACGCTTGAAAGTTTGTTGCAGAGGTGTGATACTCGCTTGATGTCACGGTAGGGCTTGAAACTGAGGACAAATGACTGGTTGGGAGCATTCTTGCTGAAACGGTGATGGCGAACTGCCTCGTGTCTTCGGCGTCTATGGAAACAAGGAAGGTTAGCGCGGTGAAGTAACATAAAAATGCACAATACACGCACTTCTGTAACTTAGAGAAAGACGCCCACAATCCCTCTGCCGTGCTCAACACCATCAACCTCCAGTAAAATGATACAGCTCATTCCAAGCACCACACCCATTCGAACTTTTGAAGATCATAAGAAGGACATAAACGCAGTTGCAGTGTTCCCTGACAAACGACGAATGATTACGGGCTCGGACGACAAGACTCTTCGTCTTTGGGACTTGGAGACAGGTGTTGTATTGAAGAAGATGGAAGGGCATAGCAGTGGGGTGCTTGCATTGACGATATCGCGAGATGGTAAAATAATAGCAAGCGGTGATACAAATGGAGAGGTCATCGCCTGGCACGGTGAAACTGGCGAATCCATCACCCAACCCATCAAAGCCCACCCCGCCAATTGGATCAATTCTTTGGATTTTTCTCCAGATGGAACGGTGTTGGCCATTGGTTCATCGGACCACACGGTGAGGTTTTGGTGTACCAAAACGTGGCAGATGCAAGGAGATCCAATCAACTGTGGCAGTCTTGTCAACTGCGTTCGATATTCGCCTTCTGGTGAACTTCTTGCCATCGCAACCTTCAATATCCAAATTTATAATCCAGGCACAAGGGAACGCGTCGCATATTTGCCAGATGACACTGGCTTATGGAACATGTCACTCGCGTGGACACCCGATGGCACACGCCTTCTTTTAGGAGGCAGTAAATACATATTAGAGTGGGACACATCAATCTGGCAGCAGGTCGATCGTCCCTGGGAAGGCCACACTGATTATATCTATGCCATTGCCATTCATCCCGCTGGCACCCTCATCGCTTCTGCATCTGAAGATAATTATGTCCGTCTCTGGCGGCTCTCAGATCAACGAACCATCGCCGTTTTCCGGCATTCAGCTAAACTGAAATGTGTCACGTTCTCTGTGGACGGCCAGCGCATCCTCAGCGGAGGTACAGATAACAAGGTCTCAGAATGGGCAGTACCCAGTGAGGGCAATTCAAAGGCGAGTTTCCATTTCCGACTCTCATTAAGCAATTCGAGCATCCTTCGTACAGATCCTTGACATTACAACAGCCCGCGATGCATGTCTGACTGGGGATTTGTCTATCGCTGAAGAGCTCCTCACCCAAGAGATCCACACCAACGCCGACGACTTTACTTCATATGCCAATCGTTCGTTTGTTATGGCCCAGAACCACAACTTGGACAACGCCCTTGAGGATGCAATCAAGGTGAGATGGACCCACCCATCATTGTCATCTTACGGAAGGCTAACATTCATCCGGAATATAGTCAATCAACATTAAACCATCATTGATTGGGTTTATCTCCAAAGGCATCACCCTCTGCGGAAAAGGTCACGTCCAAGAAGCAAGGGTAGCATTCGACGTTGCATCCACGTTCACGAATCAAGATTCAGAAACCAACCAATTTCTTCTCTTGATCAAGGTACATTTAATTCGTATCCCATGCTATCAGCTTCATCCGGTATTCCAGGCCATAGCACTCTTCAACGCAGATCAACATGACGAAGCAATGCTGCTCATCAAAGACCAAGCTGCTGCTTGTCCGAATGTCGATCCTCTTGCGCGTCGTGTCGTGGAAGTGAGTGTCATGTGGCCACACTCAGTCATCAATCCTGATATTCTCAACTTACACAATAGACATATCTACGTGCTCAACTCGGAATCAAAGCTTTCGATGGCGCGCATCACGACGAAGCCGCTAATCACTTCACTGCCGCTGTTAACTCAGACGCTTTCTCATCGAGATACATTCATTCCGCATACCAGGACTTGACCGTGGTCCGTCGACATGATGCATACATAATGTTTTTCATAACCGAATCCTTTTTGCAGCTCTTCGGCTGGGATCTCGAGTCCTTGCTGCTCACTACACACCAGAAACGGTGCCAGGCTTTCCTTTCGGCAGGTAAACCCGATGAAGCCCTCGAAGCACACAAATACATGATGGACGCCATCGACGACATTGCGAAGGCCAACTGTCTCGATTGGTCCAACGGCAAGTCTTCCGTCATGTCACCCACGACTATCATGCTCACCTGTGTGTCACTCAGAGTTCAAGGAGAAATGCAGCACGCTCGCTGCGCATAACGACTGTATTCTTGGTGTATGTACCTCTTTCCTTACCTCTTTCGATGCTGACTATTGTGCAGGCAGAGATCCCCGGCCAAGATGATGATGGCTATGATGCAGAACCCAATTTCTTTTATGGAACGCATCAAGTGTGTGCAACGGCGTATCCCTCTATTCTCTCTCACATAGCTCATTACGGTGTTCTCAGATTTCCCGGCCAAGACTTCAACAGCGAGCTGGGCGCCTTGGGCACCTCGAAAGACTGAGGCTCGCTATGATGAGGAGGCCTCAGTCAGTTCCTGCACCTGCACCGCCCGCCACCTCACCACCAGTCACCGCCACCACCACCACCTTCAAAACTCACCTACGACGCCTATTTACCCTACCACTCCACCATGCAACGCCACCTGTTGTCGATGTTCCTTTTGCCCAAGGTCGACAGGTGCGCTCGGTTATTTTGTCATGACTGTTTCTTGGGTGTCTCACGCTTAAATCTACAGCGTAATGCTGCAGCGGGTGCTCCTGGGAGTGAGCACTCCTTGATACGTGATGAAGACCCTCCTTCACAGGATCCCAATACGCAACAGCAACAGCAACCAGTAGCAGTTCAGGTAGATACCGGCCAACATGGAAGCGGCCTGTCCTGTTTCTGCTGCTAGAAGCATTGGTGAATGTCCATGGGTATTTCAGTTTTATCGTTCATCTTGTCATGATATCCATACTGGCTTGAAGCGGCAGTTTATCGCTGAGCATCAGCATCCTTTAGCTCGCGAGTCTATAGCTGATTGTGAACCTTGATTCCTTCATATCTAGATCTTGACTTGCGCATAAGTTACTGAGTTTCAGATATCGTGCTCATATGCAACCACGGGGCCATTCAATATTCCACAATCAAAAATGTCTCGTCGACTGTACATAGTACTGGCAGGACGTAGCGGTTCATTCAAGTCTTCGCCAGCACCATTTTACACAGCACCTCGTATCAGCCCTGCTATTCTTACCTAAAAAATTTGCGTTATCGAGAACATTTCTGGACGGTTTCTGAATACTCTTCGTGACATCTAGACAGCCATTGCCGCGTCGACACATGACGCATTGATGAGCGCTCAGCGGTGAACTACAGCCCGGGCCTGCCACATCATGGTCTTAGCTGACTCTGCTCAACGATCGATCGATCTTCCCACTGAGAGCTCAACCTCCCATCCCTCGTTTTTCTCGCAGCTTGATACAATTCCTGCAAGGGCTGGAAGGTTTGAGGTTTGTGAGAGCTGAGCGATGGACGACAGTACTAGTATCCAGTTGCCCATCAGTTGCTGGCACCATTGCGCTATGATTGAAATCAAGAAACCGGGAACGACTTGATGAAATTTACTGAAGTTTCCCTTACCTGGAGATCACCCCTCGAGTGTAGAGGCCAAGGTGTTTACCGGCCGAGTGCACTTTGTCCATTACATGTCAGAATATGAATTCGATGAGGTGGTGGCTATCGCTAGTGATTTCGGTATTTTGCGATGCTCTAGTTCCGTTTGCAAGAGGAACTATGCCAACGCAACCTACGTGGAAGAATCAATAATATTGTTGCCTTTTCTGGGGAGAAGCCGCCCCCACAAGGCGCGTGAAGCTGGCAGTCGGTTTGCCTTCATCCGCACTAGTGACGCCCGCTACATTCCTGGCTGTCGTTCTTGTCAAAGGAGGGCTATTCGTATTCAGTCTAACTCGTGGAAACTGGTCAAACGAAGGCGTTCATAATACAGTACTTGGCTGGAGTAATTGGAGCGTACTAAGAATAGACACGCGACTGCTATCTGTGTTATTTGTGCATGATATGCCAACACCTGTGACTCATAAACTTGAAGCTTATCTCAGCGCTCAGCGTCGTACCCTCTAGCTAGTACTTGAACTTAACTTGAAAGTTTCAAAACATTGTACCTTGAAATGTCTGTTAACGTTCCTACTAATGGTACACCATTTTGGGAGAAGATCACGACTGAAGCAAAACACAACTCACAACTTCTCGTTTTGAAACATGGTCAAAAACGGGTCATGGTCAGACGGCAAAGGTCGTATAATGTAGGCCGAACAGCTATATATCAATAAATCGTTGACGACTCAGATATGATAAGCTCATTCTCGACACAACCTGCAAACATTTCCCAGGCATTCCGAGAGATCTAATCGCGTTGCAGACCAATCAACTCGACGTTTGTGGTGGTTACTATGTTGACATCACGGCTGAAATATGGGAGGATGTTGTCGACTTGCTTAACGTAGTCGAGGTAACCCGTGCACAAATAACGTTGCCCGTTCCACCGCCGCTCTATGCTATTCCATCGCCTGACAATCAACCAGCGCCAAATCAGGTTCACAGCTCGTACGCACCCCGAAAATTCTACAAGTATTTTCAGTTCTGAAGTCAAGAGTCAAGACAATACATCACTAGGAACGATGACAAAATCACGATCAAAGTCGTTTTTCCATTTGGCGAGATCCGGTCTGCCAAGATCTCGAGGACAGTACGGGTGGACGAACTCCTTGCCGAGGCTGGTGATATATTGGGACGTCCTCCCACCAGTATCAAGGCAGTCTGGGATGGGTCGATAATGCGCGAGGACCGGAGTATCGGATCGTACAGCATCGAGGATGGTGACTCCATCAATCTTCAGGCGGGGCCATTGTCTTTTGCAAAGCCAGTCATTTATCTGCACTCGCCCTCCGATATCGATGTCTCTGTCAAGCTCTCCCTCATTCCGGAGTGGAGCCTCTCTGTCATCTATCCCGTTGTTCCCATGGATGAGTATAGACAGCATTTGGAATGGAACGTCCGTACCCACAAAGATGGGAGTCTGACTGAACATAATTCCGGTCTACACGTGTCATACTTGTTCTGGGAGGCAGAGTAAGTCCCTCAATGATATAAAAACCACCCACCTAACCTGCATTCCTCTTCGCAGAACAAATCTGCAAGCCCATTCACCAGCATCCAGATTCCAGACCGCCACCAGCGGATACATTCCATCCAATAACCAGCAGTCTCGATGATACGGATTCAATTGTCATCCCAGCAGACAAAGCCACTGTTTACTTCGATAAATCGCTCAAGGTTTTGGGACTTCACACCGAAGCTAGAACATCATTCATAACGTGCGTACATATGCGCTACCTCAGGCTACCAAATCATAAACACACCACTAAAACTGCCGTGGTAGCTACTGGCTACCGTCTATCCTTAAGCACGAATATATTGCCCTCCGATTCGTCCCTCAAGTGGCATACGAACGCGTCGCTTCTTTAAGCATTTCTCCGCAGCCTGACATCGTGACTCGCGTATGCATGTTGTTCAAAGGTGTCTGTAAGAAGCACCTAGCAAATTGGCCTAATGCACAAATGCAAGCAGAGAACGACGTTGCTTGGTGGGTGGACGTAGTTGGAGTTGATCCTACAAGAGCTGGTGATGTGACCTTGTTCAGGGTGTTGAAATGTGGCGGGGTGGAGGTTCTCATTTGATATTCTATCAGATTACTACCCAATTCATGTAGGTGTTGCCGCGTTGTATCTTGATCAGTTTTTGCATCCGATATTGCGCAGCCAACATCGAGGGACTTCTGTATATATACCACTTGTCACCACTGGTGGTACTTTGCTTGGGAGTGCTGCTATGCGCTGTACAGCGTACAGATGTATGCACCCGCTCAAATAAACATCATATTATTCCACTCGCTGACGAGACGTACATAACAGACCAGTATACATCGAACTGCCTCAAAAATTGAACCGGGCCAAGGTAAGTGCTTGATCCGGTGGCTACACAGCCATTGACATTGACATGCGGTGTCAGTAAAGCGCCTGCAACTACAGCATGCGAAACTGACCCAATTAGTGCGTCTCCTCGTCACCTTCAACCCGTATCTGTCCTTCTCCTTGATTATTGACTTCGCACAGTGTTTCACTGTCCAATCTGTCTGTACAACGCGACATCCTTGTCATGCCACACGAAGAAGCCGAGTCAACCATGGCAACGAGACAAGGAGAAGCGCCATTGAATTCATCGATATATCGGATGAGCGTAAAATATTTACCGCCATATGGTGCACAACACCGCCAGGATGCACTTTGGGAAGGTGAGCAGCTACCTTGTGATACTCAGCAGCTTACTCAATTAGAATCAGGCGGGAATGAAGCGCTTCCTCCTGCGTGGCGTCAGTATAAGACGTCGTCAGATGGTAAAATACAATATCAAGATGACATGCTGGTGATTTCCTCGTGGAACCGACCTTTACCAGGGGTGCGACTAGGTGAGGGATGAAATTGCGACAAGGAGCGACAAACTCACCGTTGAACATAGATCATCCTGGATATCTCGCTATTCCTGGATGGGAATGGCATATCTCACCACTCGGTTGGTCCTACTTTGTCAACCACAATACTCGGACCACGTCGTGGAAGAAACCAAAGCCAGAACATCCGGCAGGAAGCTTGAAGCCGGAGTGCGTTATTGAGGGTCACTCCGGATGCATATGGAGCTTTGCCTACTTGGGTAACAGTGGCAATATAATGAGCACATCCTGGGATAGTTCGATTCGTCAGTGGAAAAGAGACGGAGACCCAGTGGGAAACCCTTTGAATAGTGATGGGGGAGGGATACTTTCGATGGTAGTGTCCCCGGATGAAGCAATGGTGATTTGTGGAAGTGCCGATGGCAGGCTGCGGCTGTGGAATATAAAGGAGGGCAGCATGATCGGCGACCCGTGGGAGGGGCATGATGCTCCAGTGATGTGCCTCAATTGGTCTCGCAATTCCCTGGAGATAGCAAGTGGGTCGACAGACGGCACCATACGACGCTGGAATCCTGGATACTGGTCGACAAATAGCACCACCCATAGAGAGCCATGGATGGCTTGAAGCCGTCAAATACTCTCCAAAAGGCGATAAATTTATGAGCGGCGGTGTGGACGGTGTGATCCGCGTGTGGTCAAAGGACAGCAAGCTGCTTATCGAGATCAAGGGACATGATACTGGGGTGACGTCATTGTGTTGGTCAAGGACGGCGCACACATATTCTCCGGTTCAACTGATAACACCATCCGAAAATGGCGGGCGATTGATGGACAAGAACTCGTCGTTCTTCGGGGTCACACCCACGTCATAAGATCCCTCTGTCTTACTCTCAATGAAAGCTATATTGTTAGCGCATCAAGTGACTGCTCCGTCCGGATCTGGGATCTCAAGACCAATCAGACAGTTGGAGATCCACTCTTGCATGATGACCAACTCTTCGCTGCTTGCCATGTCTCCCGATGGAAAATACATTGCCAGCGCTGGAATAAACAAAAAAATCTATGTATGGATTCTGGAGGCAGCGCTCAAAAATGTTGTGGTGCGTATGCACTTGGTTGTCTAATTTTTCTTCCTGACGGGTTTGGCCATCTAGGGCGCAGATGATGGCAATGCAAAGCTCAAGGCAAGTCTTCTCTGCTCCTCTTTCACAATATATCTCACTTTTTACTAGGGACGTTCAGCCCAACCGAGAGTTATATGCCCACCAATCGTGAGCAATCCCACCTTTTCTCATATGTCTCGTCAGACTTTGACCTCCATCTTGCGTCTAATTAGCAGGCCAAAAAACAGGACTAACAATATATGTCAGTATACCTTCTTGTTCTTGATTTTTCCCGTCTGACACCAAGATGCAGGGCAATGATTTCTTTGGCAACGAATCAGACCACGCGTCTCGTCGTGCAGCTCTTCCCGCAAGCCCATCGTCCCTTATCCGTTGGCGTCGTTTGCTCAGTTCCATACATTCCGGCACACGACCTCTAAATGCATCCCAACCAATCGAACGACAGTCCCGACATTGGAATATCAACTTCAAGTTGTTTTCTGGAGGACATTCCACGCGCACCGTCGATGTACCTCTTGCTCAAGATGAAAATGTGGGTGGCTCGCCTTTCCTCCTCTTTCCTCCCATTAAAACACTGCAGAGAATTGGTATTGTCCCCGAGTCTGATGCGGAAGCAGCCGCAGCTATGCAATGTACGAATAGTAACCAGGCCGACAGTTCAACGCAATCAGGTCAACCAGCTAGGGCACAACCATCTCAAGCACCAATCCAAACAGAAGCACCAGTCTCAACTGATGGAGCGGAAGACTTTGTGTATTCAGGAATGAGCTGCTGCGGAATTTTCTTTGGTCTCCGTCGTCCTGCTTCGCATCAGTCCTGAATGATGGAAGGCGTGTGGCATGCGCATACTCAGTTCAGCTCTCTTTCCCCCGCACCTGTGTCTAACTCGTCTCATAATCAATATTCGCCACCATACCTATCACCCACGCACTCGGATTCATCTCTCCTCGTGCGCCTCCTTTCCCTTGTGGATCCACGACACGTGTTGGCAACACCGCCGGGGAAGTTGGCCCCGCTTTCTGGAATGCAGCTCTTGGTAGTGCAATGGTTTTCGAGTAGAGTCTGGAGGAAGGGACACAAGCCACTCTTGTGGAATGGACTTGAGCTGCCTCTGCTTCTTCTCTGCAACAAGTTCGGTCCAATGCGGCATATCGTTTGGGAATGGAGTGAGACGAGGGGAATATCGAAGCCTGAAACTTCACAGGAGATCAGACGGCCAGGGCAATAAAAGGCTCTCCGCGACTGACATTAATGAAGTTAGAGATAAGACTTTCAATGAACATTGATAATAAACCCCGAGGAAGCCTCTCCATTTCCTCCACTTGGGGCTGTCATGACGGTTCAGGCCGAGAGCCTAGTACTGCAGCGGATACCAAGTACTACCATCTTCAACATGCTCAGGCTAGCAAGAAACCGCTAGATATATCAAAGACGGTGATTGGGTTTGTGACAACTCGCAACATACAGTTGGACGGACGTAATTTGGCCATTAGTGATGCAGTCGGACAGGTTTCAGTCGATCCTGACTTCAGCAGCATTGGCATGAATCATAATTATGATTATGCTGTAGCTTGAGGTGAGGCAGCAAGAATCGAGATTCTCGATGGCGAGCGCCGGCTGAAATTCGATATGTGGAGGCCTGCTTCAAGTGCGTGATCTGCTCGTCTTTGGATCGCTCCAGATTTTTACAATAGTTTATTAATTCGGCAGAATGGCCCGAAATCATCTCCCTTACATAAATATGACCTACATGATGCTCTTCCAAATTTCACCGTGATCACGAGTCCACGACAGTAACAGCGGTGACTTCTTGAATCCTGCTAGTCGGGTACCATCCGAGAGTCATGCAGGCATTTCGTGATGCTATGTACGAGAGAATTGGGTAAGTGATAGAAGTTTGATATCACTACTAGTACTGTGGAGTCAACATCCATTTAATTCACTCCACAGAAATCGTTTGTACAAGAATTAGTAGCTACGACAAAGATGCTTTTGAGGCATCCTGGTCACGGTGGGCTCCTCCAACAAAACGAGCTAACTTCTGCAGCAAAATCGCGAGGAAGCTTCGCTGATCTTTGATAGTATCAGCGCCCCACGTTTTGTGAGGAGTCTGCGAACAATGATCTAGGATGCTTCTGCAGACATCATTGTAGGACTGTGTACGACGTTGGTGAATATCCGGGGACTCTGTGGGTTCATCCTTTAGAGTGGTGACGCAAGCATACCCAGAGAATTGCATTCCATATGTCGCAAGCTCGTCCTTGTTCTCATTCCACCACTCTGCCATCACAGGACGGAAGTCTTCCAGGCACGTCACCACAATAATCGTGGGCACTTTGCTATCACGGATAACTGTCGAGAATATCTTGTAGTGAGTCTGCAGAGCCTTCGTTGCTCGCGTTCCGCGCACACAATATATAAGAAGATGGACACCGTCTTCCTGGTTAAGACCTCGGAGGAACGCAGTCAGGTTCCTTTCAGCCGTCACCGCAGGCACTGTGCCTTCTGAGCCTTCGTTTAACCCTGAAGACATGATCATTAAGCCGCTCTGGGCCAAAACCTTAAGCGTGAAAGAATACATACCTGCTGTATCCCACAGCCTGAAGTGTTGCCCGCTGATCGTTACATCATATGGAGCATGTGTAGTAGTACATGCGAGGGCATCAGGAGATGTTTTCGCTGCGTCACAACCCATGATAAGGTTTATGAGCGAGCTTTTGCCTACCCCACTCTCCCCATAGAGTACCACGTTACGCGGCCGACCTTGATGTCCCTACAGGAGACATCAGTCGCATACTGGATTGACCGATGGAGCAGATTACGAACCTGCTGTGAATGTTTATTCCCTGTCGTGTCTGTGGAGTCGTGGCTATCAGACATATTCTCTGAGAGACCCAATTAGCTTTGCAAAAAGAGATTGGCACAAGCTTACTTCGCGTGCGATCGTAAAGAGATGGATAACGGCTACTGGGCGTTTAAGTAATTGGCTCCGTGGCGAGCGCTTTCGGCCAGAACCAACGTGTTGCACCCTGTACCACGGCTATGAGGGCTGCACTGCGGGAGTATCCGATGTAAGAATACATGAGGACTTCGACATCAAAACGTGGCGAGCATCGAAATAGTTAAATTCCCCCTTCAGAATCGTATGGTAGGCATGCCTTATGCATGCCTGTCTAGACCCTGGCATTCGCTGTAGTTCTATTGCAAATACCGAGTGTCGCCGTCCACTCCGAGTAGCCGAAAGATCGATCAAGGAAGCTGGCTAACAGAAGCCGGGTGTCTCCCCTGTGAGCGTTCAAAATTTGAGACAAAAGGGTGATGTAAAACTATTATGAAAACGTACCGAAGGCGCGTGGTTACAACACCTTCCGCATCATATATACCTGTTACAAACAGTATCATTTTGGGGCAATTGCCATTGTACCACGCAGCGCAGAATAACCAGTGTACAGGTACGAGTAGCGCTATATCCAACTTGAAGTGTCGAATATTGCTGACCGCAAGTCGAACATAAGATGGCGCCAGTGTCGACTCGAAACGTCGTTATCTTTGGAGAAACAGGAGCGGGAAAAAGCTCTGTCATTAACCTGTTAGCTGGCCAAGAGATTGCTCACATATCGCCCGACTCTAACCGCTGTACTCTGCATTGGACGGAGTACCAAATAACATTCGAAGATGGGTCTCGATACAAGGTGTTCGATACGGTCGGCCTCGAAGAACCTCGTCTACAAACCGGAGAGTACCTCTCCGCAATTTCAAATGCATATGGCCTCATCAACACTTTGAAAGAACGTGGAGGTGTCAACCTCTTGCTCTTCTGTATACGTGGAGGCAGAGTCACAGCAACCATGCAGAGCAACTATAGGTTGTTCTTCGAATTTCTCTGCGAGGAAAAAGTCCCGCTCGCGCTAGTCGTCACAAATCTCGAAAGAGAGACAAGGATGGAAGACTGGTACACGCGGAATATGAGCTACTTGGAGAAGTATAACATCAGGTCCGCGGGACACGCATGCATAACTGCGGCAAATCTTCTGGACGGGAGGCATAGAGACAAGTATGAGGAGTCGCGTGGGATACTCCGTAGAGTGGTTGAGGTTCATTGCAACGCATCCATGGAAGGGTGGACCGGTGGACAATCATGGCTTACTTCGTTCATTAGCAAGCTTGTGGAATTTGTCGTTGGACGTCCCAAAAAGGCGGACATCATTGGGGTTCTCACAAAACGATGTGGGATGGCCAAGGAGGTGGCTCAGCAGGTAGCGCAACACATTAAATCCGAAAATCAATCGTAGGATAATTTCGGACTTGTCATGGACACTATCGGGTACATACTTAGTACTACTACCATGACAAAGATCTTGCAGTGTATCGCACATCGTAGTACAACGACCACTTGAGCTAACAGACTAGTGCGTAACGCACCGTGTTCATTGAATTATGCAGCAGTGGGAAGATCGAGACTCATACAACAAGAATGAACCGCGACATATACGTGGTCAACATATCTAAAGTTCATGGGCCCGGAGACACAACCAGCTACTAAAACTTCGAGACAAAATCAGTAAAGATGATTGACTCGCCAGCGTCGCCGCTAAATTGTTACACACCTTAATCCGATAAACTTCTCAACACATCTACTAGCTCCACTTGTACCTTCTCGATCCTTGTCGCTTGCTTTTGCGCTTCTCCCGAATTGTGCATTCTCAACGCCGCCCGCACATCTCTCACAAACGCGTATGATTGGATTGTGGACTCTTCAACCCCTTCAGCCTCTTTCGAAGCCTGTGAGGACGTCGTATCGTCAGCAATCAGACCAGAGAGGTCCACAGAAGAAGCCCGCAGAAGAGCAAGGTCTCGTAGGGTGTCGTGAAGAGGAAGTGGTATTCCTTTTGATGCCATGATCAATGTTCCAAGCAAGCTACTTAGTAAGCACTTCCAACTCTTCTCGTACTCAGTAATCTCCCATCGAATTGAGCGAAGTAGATTTCTTCATAGGTTTGTATTTCATGCAATCACACACACGTCTTATCAACGATGCCCTCTCATACAGTTTCTAATCTGCTCACCACTGACAATCACTTCGAACGGATCACGAGTCTGTCCATCCCTGCAACAATCGGACAAGACATTTACCGCATTGTTTAAAATGCTGGATACTAAGCTTGTGGTCAGCTTCGACGAAGGAACCGCCTGTGTATTGCGTGCAGCTGTCAGCAGAACTCTTTGTATGAGATAAAGAAGTGTTGGAGCTTAAGATGAAGTTGATCGAAGAAGGAAAAAAGAAAGGTAGGCGGCGGCGTCATCTTTACTTCGTCATTTAGTTACTAAACAATAGTCACAGGTAGCAACCGACGGCCCCTCGGTCCAGAATGCTCTGAGTGATTTTGTCTAGGAATTTATGGGGCGAACAAGCTGAAGATATAGAACAGCTTAAAAGTTCGAACACACGGATACAGGCCACCTTTCAGCGCATGAGTGATCAATCTCAGTACCTTGCAATCCCTACTAATTTATATCCCCAGTAATACACGACACTTCATGCTCTACATCGTTTCGTAGTGCTTGATTAGGCTTGTAATCTCCTCATCAATCACTCTCTATTAGCGATCTTCGACTTGGAGGTCAGATGGCTCTGCGTGAACTGGTGCAAGTTGTGCGTTCGAAGCTAAACACAGAAGATGCAACTTTACTGTCTGATAATGTTTCTATAGGTGGCAAGAATACGGTTCACCAAGAAGGGAACGACGCAGACTCCAAGAAGATACTGACTTAGCTGTCCTAGAGACAGAATTGGATCCCTCGCGATCAAAATTGCTGCAAACGATCTACATAACGAAGTTCCACAATTGCAGATAGTTCTCGTACGAGATATTCTTCTATATATCACTGCATCGCACAATAGAATGAAAATTCTCCATATGCTATCTCGCAGGGCTTCGCATCTTCATAAGTAATCTCGCGCGTCGATCGAGAAAAAAAAAACAACTTGAGCATGTACGCGATATTATATAGTCCTGTCATGTATTCGTAGAGAAAACAGCTACATAACAGCAAGTGTTGAATGATTATAGTATCTACCATTCCGTACCAAATATAGTGAGCACCCTGTGGGTAAACATATGAGATACTTATAAAAACCCACACAGACACTATGTGCAGTATGTATGAAACATCGAATGAGATACCGTCCTCAGAAAAACAAGCGTCCCAATCTAAAACTTCTCTCCTGGATCTAACGGACCCAGCGGGCCATACCTCTCACCAGTGCGACTCTGGTCCTCTATTCGTGTGCCGTACGGTTGATGCTGTACGGGGGGTGTTCGTGAGCCCGAGTCGGATGACGCGTAGGACATGAGACGCTGTTGTGATGGGTTATCACTGAGCTGATACCGTGCGGCGTACATCGCGCTCGTGGGTGTCCGTTGCGGGCTCTCGTCATCATCAAACCCACTCTCTAACATCGCCTCCAACTCTGCACCGCCAACCACCTTGTTCCCATCAGCCCCATGCCCAGAGGCAAACAGGCCGACAGGCGGAGCAGGGAACTGAGCATTGTTCTCGTTGTATCCACCAATCTGCGGACCATAATGATCGTCCTCGGATGACACAAAGGAATACGTGTCTGATCCGTCGCCGTATGGACTACGTGCTTCATTGCGAGCGCTTAGTAGGTCGTTTTCAGAAATGTACCCCGCTGGATGCATACGATCAAAGTCACGCCGCCGCCGTTCCTCACGCTTGAGTTTGCGTAAGCGTGAGCGCTCCCAATCTTCCCAGCGGCGAAGAGTAACCGAGGAACCATCGAAGGTGCCAGAGCCAGCACCATGTCCTTCTCCCTTTGTCTCCCCTTCCACTTTCCTGTAAACTATACGTTAGCACTGCAGCAACCACTTGCACGAAACGGAATGTATATACCTCGTCTCTCCCCATGAGAAGTCATCAAAATGCCAGAACGCATACACGGGAAGAACAAAATTCCACACCGGAAGTGCCACGAGGTATATAATCATCCAGAACACATATACAACCTTCCTCGTTGTTATCAATATCAGCACAGCGGGAAGACCCAGTACAGACACAAGAAGCATGAGGGGGATCGCTTCCTCGAAGGTTGTTGGGGGTTGCATGATCATGCCCACAATAAGCGCATACGTGAGCACGATGGCGATGGGTAGTACGACCGTCCCGAGCAAATCCATGAAGACCACAAATTGCATGCTAAAACAGAATGTCCCGCATAGATTGCGCACAAGAACAAGTTCCATGAGATTGTGGATCGTGCTGTTAATCCATCGACGACGTTGAGAGAGGAGGACTTTGAAAGTATCGGGTACAACAGTCCGGCATTTGGCTTGGGGTAAGAACATCATCTTGCGATTGGGGAATGTACGAAGGAGAATGGTGGTGAGGAAGCGGTCTTCTCCGAGTAGAAGAAGGTTCTGTTGGTGCAGCGTGGTGACCTCGCTTTGACTGTATTCGCGTACAATTTCAGGTTTAACAATGAGAGGGATCCAGTCGTCACCCGTCGTTTTGCGCGCTTTCAGTCGAAACATGGAGAAACAGCCTGGCAAACATGAAACACCACCAAAGACGGATTCGAAGGCTTTGGCTAAGTGGTGGGAGATGAAATATTCGAAGACTTGGATGGCGGTGACCCAGGAATCACGTTTGTTCGCTATGCGAGTCTCCCCGCAGACGCCCATGATCATCTGGTCGTGGTGCATACAGTTGACTAGGTATTTTAGCGACTCGGGGTATACTTTGGTATCGGCATCAACCTGTGGATACATCAATACATGAAAGTAAAGTGGTAGATGAACACGCACCATCAAACAGACCTCAAAGAAGTCAGGCGTGACACCCATCAGGGTATGGATCTTCCGGAACAAGTCGAAATCAAGAGGGGTCATCCGATCGTTATATGTGACGCGAGAGAAAAAGTTCATGAGAATGAGCTGGCTGTCTCGTTTGCCGCGGTTTCCAGGTTTTTTGTCGCTGGTAGCCTCGGCCTCCGTTCCGCACTTTACAACAATCACAGTAGGTGTGCGACGACCAGCAACCGCTGACCGATGTTATTAGCACTAGGCCCTCGCACAAAGAAATGAAGGCGTACTGTAGTGTCCTGCATAGACCATTGCCCTATTTTCCCGCTTCGTTCCACTTCCAATTGCAAGATAGCTCATGGGCATGGGATTGCCGAATCGAGGATCCGCATCCAGCAATCCCACACATATATCAGGTGTGCTCATCTTCTCTCCTGCACCAGTGATCATGCCATCGGCCACAATAAAAAGTAGCTTGCGTGCATCAGAGTAAGTCGTCCGAGAAATGGAATCCAGCGTGGAACGTATAGAGTCTTCACCCTCAGAGTAGCACGTTACGAGGCAGATGGCGAATAACTCGGCACCAATTTGCGTGAGAGACATGATGGGTGCAGCTTCCGGTAATAGGGTTGTGCTGGAAGATGCAGGAAGGCGAGTAGGGATTGCTTTCACGAGTTTCTTCGACCCATGAGGGCCAGCCCATGGTGCTGTACCCGTGCGGTTGTCAACTGAGATATTTGCACCCCCAGGCATCACCGCAGGACTGATGGCCGACCTGTTGAGATGCGACGTGTCCGGGTGACCTGCAAGCTTCGCAGACAGGAACCAGCTAAATACACACGCCATTGCAAAGCGGACAAGGACGAGGGCAAGGATGACGATGAGTCCAACATACAGGAAGAGGGAGCTGACGAAGCAGCCGGGGGTGATCTTGGCAATGTTTCCTGCATAGTATCGCTGATAGAGGCATGGAACTGCTGTAAGGATATCAGCACGGTTGTAGAATAGACGGGTGCCATCCTTTCCACTAGAGCTCGCCTGTGTCTTCAGGATAGTGCGGATTGCGAGATCTACGGGGTCGGAAGCTACCGGGCTGGGATGTTGTGTCATGTAGGGATTCATGTTTAGTACGGCACCGTCAATTACGAAATAATTTGGGAGGGCAGCGACTTGGTCCCAGTCGTAACCAAGCAGAAGATTTGTCTCCTGGATATTGAGTTGCGTAAAGGTGGAAGAGGCATTGATTGCACCAAGAGGACAGTCTGTTGTAGATATACACGGTTGGTCCAAGGCAACACGGAATTTGAGACCTTGGCATGCGGAATATTGGCTGGCAGTGCGATAGAAGTAGGGAGTGATGTCCTGTCCTGGCTCTTTAAGGGTGAGTTGATCGAGGTTCACACTCGCAGGACTGTTGGCTTGGGTGACATTGTATACAATGCCAAGTATGCTCAGCGTGCCGGAGAGTGAGCCAAGAATCGAGTACCGCGAGGGGTTCATGCTGGATGTCTCGGGACACAAGACCTTCTGGGTGCCGACGGTAATGAAGCCAATGATAAAACATAAGATAGTAATGATGAAACATAGGGCGATTTTCTCTCTCCATGCCTGTATCTTGCCCTTGTCTTTGAGACCCCCGAGAGAGCTAAGCAAACAGGATGGAGCCCAGAAAGTAACGATCTGAGCGAACAAGCGCCATGGGTCGAAACCACTGCTCCGGGAGCCGGTTTGAATAGTACCTGATGCGGAAGGGGTGAGGGATGACTGGGGATTAATGAGAGGCACTGGTGCGACACTTCGCTCCGGGCGAGTGAGGGTTTTTGCACGGCGTATAGTGGCGCCCGTTGGCTGAGGTGGACGATTTGTAGGGACTGGGACATCAGCAGATGCGTACGTAGGCTGCGGTGCGAACCTAGCCGCCATGACTCTCTCCAGAAAAAAGACTGACTTGTACACCCGAACGGTGCTTTGATATCTGGGAATAATAAAGAGCGGTTAGAAATGAAAGACAAGGGAATAAACGAAAAATCGTGAGCCCGGAGCAGCCAGCTGAGTTGACGTTGTAGTTGAAAGTCAAGCTCTAGCGTAGCAACAATATTCAGCGCTTAGCACGTGAGACTCTGATACGATATAGCCTAAATGCGACTACCAACTAATAGTCACTTTACTTTGTTTGCCAAATAAGTCTCTGGTTGTTCGGCTTAGTGAACAGTGAACACTGTCACAGTAAGAAACTGGTTTCTCTGCATACATCCTAACAGTAAGTACTTCACTTAACCGACATCATTCGCAACCATTGCTCTTGCCATTTGATGCCAAAAATATCTGTGCTGTGTATATCAGTCGGCGTCCATGCTAGTGACTTTCTAGAGGAGTTCTAAATTCCATTAATTTATAGGCGCTAGGTAGGCTACTAGCGGATGTTGAGCGGATGCCAATAATATCATTGGGCAATGGGCACAGGGCAATGGGCATGCACGATGACATAGGATGACCCCACGCTATATAGCTTGGAGCTTAAATTCTAAGTTTCCGGCATTTGAGACTAGCGCCCTCTCATAATTTAGACTCGGACTCACCACTCGACGGACAACGCTCCAAATGTCCAACACACCTCAGCCGTCGCATCTCATACGCTCGACTGTGCGGAATGGAAGTAGTCGATGTAATTTGACAGCCAATCTTTTCACATTCTCAGGCTCCCAAAGAGGACTTCCCGGGGACAGAACAGTACCTACCACGACAGCGCGTTCCAACACTGTCTATGACGAACCCTGCACCTTGAGTCAACAGGACGCAGGGCAGTCCACGGGGAACACAACAGTCCCTGAGTCCAACACCCGGTCTAGGGACGACGACTCACAGGTTTGCATAAGTCCACTGGTATCCCAATCAGTGTCGGATCCTGATATATTTTACTTAGGCATCCACCTCGGAACTTCCACCTCTGTAGGGTGTTCATACTGAAACGAGTCTTCGTTAATTCAGCTCCCTTTTTAGTCCCGAAATACAACTGGCACTAGCAGAAGATCTGACAGGTCAGATCTTCGGTACGATAAGTGACTACGTCGCTAGTGGTGCATTCGGAAACGTTTACAGATGTGAATGGAGACAGCCATCGGGCCCTGTCAAGGTCTGGCCAGTGGACAGCGCTGGCGTCACTCGCTGATCAGCCTGTCCATTACCGCACTACAGGTCGCAGTAAAAACCTTCAGGCATCACATGGATAGCACCTCAGAGCAGGACTTAAAAGTAAGGGGTCTGTGTTTTCCTGTTTTGAACACTATTTTACGTGGATTCGCTAGAGGTTTCGACGAGAAACTGCAATCTGGGCACACCTCGTCCACGATAATATCGTGACACTTTATGGAACGACAGAGGGCTTCGGGCCAACCACAGCCCTTGTCTCCCGGTGGTTCCCGCACGGCACGCTGTCCCGTCTGATCACAGAACAAGGTGCTACTCTAACTATCAAATCCAAATTGAAGCTGGTAACTCGAACCTGTTTGGCTGTGATAGACCTAAACTGAATTATACTTATTCACCAGCTTCACGGCATAGCATCTGGGCTCTACTATAGTTTGTATTCCCTTCACGGTCGTCTTTGTTTTAATTGATAAATTTCCCGTTAGTTCACTCTTTTTCCGTTGTTCACGGTGACATTACGAGCGTGAGCTCATATTCTACATTCAATTGCACTCACTAATCAATACAGTCTAACGTTTTGGTAGATCTTAAGGAAGGAGAATACAAGGCTTGCCTAACGGACTTCGGTTTGTCAAATGTCCTCTGCGGACGTTTAAAACAGTGCCCGCTGGCAATTGAAGGATCAACAATTGTTCGGCCTGGCGCAATCAGGTGGACTGCGCCTGAGTTGGTCAGGTCATGTGGCCCCCCTTCCGATGTCAAACCAACCACGCAGAACGACATGTATTCCTTTGGTCGTGTCATGTTCCATGTAAGTGTGAACGTTTCGAGTCCACAAAATCTATATTTAATCTATCATTCATCTCAGTTGTTGACTCTGACTGTTCCTTGGTATGACATTGAAGATTACAGAGTCATTCAAAAAATCCAAAATGGAGAGGATATTCCGCGTCCGGAGATATCCGAGGCGACGTCTGATGTCACAGACGCCCGCTGGAATCATATTGAGCAATGTTGGTCGATTGATCCATCTGCTCGTCCATGTGCCCTCACATCCATGAACTTCTTAGTGGGGGAACTAGATGCTTTGAAACAAGATGTAAGCTCATGACTTGTCTCGTCACGGAGTAGAGTTTCTGACTTTGATAGGATGTCCTTGTTGGCGAGGTACAAGAAAGCCATCAAAAAGCATCCTTGGTCCCGGAGCAGGTATGAACTCACCGGCTTGTGGTTGAAGTAATTCGGCTTAAATGTCTGTCGGCCAAGGCTAGGATTTCGACCAGACCGTCGTTTCAGTCTTTCTCGCGAACCCTTAGTCTATCACGCAAAGCCGTTCCCTCTAGCCCTTCAACACACCATCTCATGTCTACGGCATCGTCACTGGTGAGATTCTAGTGGTGCACTGTTTCTATATGTACTGATTCTTCTACGCGGTCAAGTCACTTACAGGTCCTTTGAATGTGTTACTTTTCGGGGAGACTGGAGTTGGGAAGAGCGCCATCATCAACTTGATTATGGGACACGAGGTTGCACAGACGTCGCCAGACGCAGAAACCTGCACACTGCAGCATACCTCCCATGAAGTCAATCTTGCAGAACGCCGATTCAAACTTTGGGAAGTTTCCTCCATTGAATCAATGGGTTTTTTCCAGGCCCTTTTTACAAAATGGCGCCTGAAAAAGTCATACAAGAAGCTGTACAGAGATGACGGAGTTTACCTTCTTTTATATTGTATGAGGGGATCGAGGGCCCAGAGAGCACTGATCAAGGATTATAAATTCTTCACTGACATTGTTGGCTCCACAGCCACTGTGGCAGGCGGCGTACCGGTCGCCGCTGTGGTCACCTCCTTGGAAGATTACCCCAAGGACATGGATGTGTGGTGGACGAAGAATAAGGACAATCTGGAACGCCTCGGAATGCGGTTCTCCGCACATGCTTGTATCACTTCCCTCCCTCACGATCCAGCATCCTCACCCGCAATGCGCGCACGTCGACAGCGATCAGAACAAGTCATCCGCTGTCTTATTTATGAATCCTACAAAACAGGTACCGAAACATCTCGCAGTTCCAGTCCAGCTTTGGCTCGATGAAAAAAAATCTGGCTTAGTTGCGTATTATTGTCTTCGGAGATTTGGGTTCCCCTGGTAGGGCGCTGCGCGCACGTCACTGTTGAAAAATCCGTTCAAGGCTTCATCCTGTCAATGACCATTCTGTATTTCCCTCTGTATGACCGATTATATCGCACTATACTAGTAGTACTTACTATGTATGTATAGATCCGAGTTCGATACTAGCTCACAGAGTACAGTGCACTAGCACCGCTTCTCACTGTATCGTTATCGTTGTTTTGGCAAACTCTGTGTCTCGGGTTCGTCATCGTCCTCGACTGACAAGTCCAGTCCTAGTCGCTGATGAAGAACATATATATTATGCTGGCGACGATGCAAATCAGAACGGCTACCGTACTTCTTATCGTCAATATTAATACCGGCCTCGCTTAGTAAGCTACCGTTTGATCTGATTCGGATTAGTACATTTGGACGAGTACTAACGCACCTCCAAGCAATACTAGATCAACTGGGCATAACACTTGTGAAGACATTCTGCACGACACTTCATTTCTACGTAAGCTTGAACACATTACTATCCTCACATAGGCTAGGGCGGTTTGTACTCTAGAGCGCTTTTCGAGCGCCCAGTCGAGTTTTGTCCGGCGACCGTAGATCATGTCATCATTCGCGAAGTCCAAGTTGAAGGCAGCGAGAGATGCTATTGGAAAGAAAAAGTACGAACAAGCACGTGAAGCCGCTGCACAGGTTCTTGAATACGAGCCTGATAACTATACCGCGTGCGTTCCCAATCTAAAAGAATGTGTTGCGAATCTCATATCGACTATCTTGCGCTGGGCAGCCATGTGTTTCTTGGTCTTGCTCTCTTAGAACTCGGCCAGCACGAAAAGAGCGAGCAAGTAAACCTGACGATTGTTGTGCGGCGCGTATAAGCTAATTTTTTGCATCAGCTGTATCGAAAGGCCATAGAACTCAAGGATGATCAAATACTCGCATGGCAGGTATAGTGTGTAACTACCCTCAAATAAGTGATTCTCATCTAGTGCAATACATAGGGAATCGCAAAGCTTTACGAAAAAACTGAGAGGTGGAACAATTTGGCGGATACCCTGGAACACATGATGCAGATATTCGCCGAAAAGTGATTGCGTTCTCATTGTGATGCATACAGCTGAGAATTGAAATCGTACAGTGACGACGCCACAAAGTGTGCTGAGACCCTTCAAAAATTAATGGATATTCTCCGGCAACATGGGACACGCCGTGAGGTATGAATTTGTCCATCTTGAAGCCATCTTTCTCAACGTGTTTAGGTCATTCAAGCATTATACTTTCACCTACCAGACTCCTCTTTGTATCCTGTTCTTTCAACGCTTCCTCCACCTGATGCTACGAATCCCACATCGACCTCAATTTTTCCTACTCAATCGGCAATCCACAATTCACTCGCTGTCTATGAGGAGCTTGTATCCCTGACAGAGCGAGAAGAAGAGATGTTTTTCAAGTCTGAGTTTGACAAGCGACGTACTCGCCTTGGAGCTCCTAAACCTGAGCAACTCAAGAAAGATATTGGCATCGAGATTTGGCATTCGTCAAAGGTAAAGCAGCCTTGCGAACGCTCCGGTTGTCAGGCTAATCTTGACCTTGCAGCTTCCAGCATTATACAACGATATTCTTAATCACCCCAGCACCTCGGACGAACTGCGGCGCGCCACAGAATCGAAACTCATTCGATATAAACATCAATTGTTTCTGGCACTCCCCTCTACTGACCCAGAAAAACGCCAAGTTGGCATGCAGTTGGACGAAATGGTTCACGGTATTGTGACGATTGGCATTCCGGATGAGTTTGCTTGGTGCATCTGGTTTGAAGGAAAAGATTATGATACAGTTGGTACTGGGCACGCCACCAAATTAACCATGATTACTGAATCGTCTACTCTAGAGGGTCTTGGTCTTGCGTATCTCAAACAGTTCATAGAACTCTTCCCGACAAGCACATTAGCGCTGATGTTGACAGGATACTTGACATACAATAAGGCTGCTTATGGTGACGAAGAATCAACAGAAGAACTGACATTTGCGGTGGATAGCGACCCTTATGGCACTATTCTTGCAAGTTCACGAATCACGCTGTAGAGGATATCGACATCACTGACATATCTCTTCAGGATGCCTTTTCAGCACTCCCGGACTCATTACTAGCGAACATGATCACAGCTCGAGTCCATTTACAGGAACTCGAATACACAGATGCCATCAAAGTCGCTGAAAGCGGTCTGGAATTGGTGCGCAGGTATGAGTCAAATACAGCTCGTGAACTCCAAGAGTATGTGGAATTAGAACCTTCCAACTGCAGTGACAACTTATCGTCCATTTAGAGTGCGCAAGGCATTTCACATTATTCTGGCCACATCCTTCGTGCACCTGTTTCCTCCAAAGCACCACCCTCGCGCCCTTTATTTCTTAAATGACGTCCTGAAGCAAGATCCTACCAATGTGGACGGATTGATGGGGAAGGGGTATGTTTTCCGATACGCTGAAAAATGGGAGGAGGCGGAGGTGCTATTTGCGCAAGCAGCGGAGCAGCTCCCTGACGATATTGACAAAGGTGTGGAAGCAAAAGAGGAGAGTGCGTGGTGCCTTAGTCGGATGCATGCGGATGCTGGCGTAGATGCTTTGAAAGAGGTCTTTGAAACCTTGAAGGATATCGAGGATCGTGACACCGATAAAGCTCGATGCCTGTGGCGGATTGGAAGATGTTACTGGGATCTAGGAGGTATAACGACCCACGCCTTTTGCCTCATATTACTTATCCCTATTACAGGAGAGTCTCGCGAGGAAGCTTTCAAATACTTCATCACATCGCTCAAACACAATCGCGAGTATGCGCCAGCATACACTTCGCTAGGTGTATACTACTCAGAACACGCGTCACCGCCCGACCCTACTCGAGCTTCGAAGTGTTTCCAGAAAGCATTTGAACTGGATGCTCGTGAATCAGAGGCTGCGAGGCGCCTTGCGGAAGGCTTCGCTGACGAGCGTGAATGGGATCTAGTTGAGGTAGTGGCTCGGCGTACTATAGACGGTGAAGGCGGGATGGGTGCGGGTATGGGGGAAGGAGATGGCGCAGCTTCGGGAAAGTATCTTCCGACAAACGCGTGGGCATGGAAGGCTCTCGGTGTTGTAGAGCTGGTAAAGGATTTACTTATGACGTTTATTTCCAACCTAACTTTATTTGGCACAGATAAGGAGGAACTATGCGGAATCCATCAAGGTTTTTCAAGTGGCACTCCGAGCGGATGTCGATGACCAGCTCTCATGGCTAAGACTTGGTGAAGCCTACAGTAAAGCCGGCCGCCATGCCGCTGCCCTTAGGGCACTTGGTCGAGCTCACGAGCTTCAACCGGACGACTGGATGTGTACATACTTTATAGGGGAAGTCCAACGGCAAGCGGGAAGGCTTGCAGAAGCTCTTACCTCCTTCCAGTCTATACTGGATGTTCGTCCCACCGAAGCCGGTGTCCTTTTATCTGTTGCGCAGACCTACCTCGACCTAGCCCGACATGAAAGGTTTGCCGGGTTTGTTACCCGAGCTGAGCAGTCTTTTATCTCCTGTGTCAACGTTGTGTTAGTCGCCATCCGGGAAAGCCCGGGACATCGTGGAGTCGCCTGGAAAATCGCTGCTGATGCTCTATTTGAGTTATCGATAATCACTGTCTTCACGGATGAAAACAACGTCCGTGCAACCGTGACTGTGGTCTGCGAAATCATCCAAGACCAAAGTAGCGCTCGGCTGGCCGGTCTATTCAAGTTCACAACTCTCCCTCCGGACAACCAAGTCACCGGGCTGAACGCACTCGAAGCTGCTGTCGCTGCCTACGATTACCGCATCACAGTGGGTTCTTCCGACGAAACCGCTCTCCCAAGCTCGTTGTACGACCTTGCTGTAGCCCTGCACGAGTGGATTTTGAAACAGCCATCCGGTACCATAGGGAAAGTCTTGGAGGCAACAAACTCATTATTGGTTCAAGCCCTACAGATAGAGCCTGGAAATGTCAGGTTCTGGGTCGCATTGGGTGATCTCCACTTTGCACGAAAGCCGAAACTGTCGCAACATGCATATATCAAGGCGATCGAAGTTGACACCAAGGTTGGTGGGACACATATCCCTGTTGCAATCTTAACTCAATCTATCTAGAACGTGGTAGCGTGGACCAAGATTGGTCTCCTCTACCTATATCATAACGATATTGAGTTGGCTACCCAAGCATTTACGAAGGCGCAAACTCTTGATCCGGATCATACCCTGGCTTGGATTGGCCAAGCATTGATTGCAATAACAAACGGCCACGAAGCAGATGCTCGTACATTACTCGAGCATGCAGTCAGCATGACAGCAGACGTGGTAAATACATCTCCGCCGCCTTATATTTGTATAAGCAACTGACACGTGGTTCAAGCCTATGGCAGACCTGCAATTTGCCTTGCGCGTTCTTGTTACCGTAAACGATTCAAATACAGTTCGTGCACCCAATACAGATCGCCTTTTAACTGCCTTCTTCGTCCTCGGGCGCTATTCCCAACGCTGCCCGACTGATGCCTGCGGCCTCCATATCTTCGGTCTGATTTGCGAGCACCTTGGAAAACTTGAACAGGGTGTAGAATACATCGGTCGTGCAATTACTCTTCTAGAAGCAGCATACGAGGAGGAGGAGGACCCCATAGTCGAACGCCAATTTGTCATCGCACACACCAACATCGCGCGGCTCCGTCTTGGATTGCAGGACTATGAAGGATCATTGGCATCTTTCGAGAACGCTCTAGGTCTACTTCCTGAAGATGCAGAGCGGGAATCACAGATTCTACGCGTACAAGCTCAATACGGGTCTGGGTTAGCGTCTTTCAAGATGGGTGATCTTCAGGCCGCCATGGCAGCATTCCAAGCTGCTTTGGAAAGCGCCGCTGACGATCGTGTTCTCCGAGGACAAGTTACTGTTCTGCTGGCACAAACGATGTGGGCGATTGAGACACCCGAGTTCCGCGAGTCTGCGAAAGGCTTGTTGCTTGATTGGTTAGAATGTAACGTCGATGATTCCCAGTCAACTAATCTATTGCTTTAGCATCACCTCCGATCCAGAAAATTTGATGGCAATCAACACTCTAGCTGGAATGGGGATACTTACTGAAGACGATGGGCTAGTTGATGCCGCGCTCTCCGAAATTCTGTCACTCCCCGTAGAACAAAGACTTGAACTCGATCCTCGAAGAGACGTGACGTATCTCCTCGTGCAACATTATCTTGGGCTGGTACGAATTCAAGTCTTAAATTGTTTGAGTGCACGATCCTGAGATTTTTTCCGGCAGGGTGACTCTGACAAGGCAATTAAAATCGCCCAAAAAGCCCTTCATGTTGAGCCTTCGAATCTGCAGATAAGGCGAGAAGTCGCATCTTTGTTGCTCATGCAGGGGGAAAGAGACGCTGCGTCAGCCATCCTGGCATCAGTAGCGCTGAATCAAAACATTGCAGAAGCAAAGACCACTCTTGCATTATCGGCTCTTGCACAATCAATACAGTCTCAAAGGAGTGCACAAAAAGCCATCATGCTGGAACCCGGTCAATTGCGGAACTGGCAGACTTTGGCTTATGTTCGGGCGCAAGAATCGCTGTGATATCAGGTAGGATAATGTACACGTATGTAAAAAGAGGCTCAATACCCGATCATCCAATAATGTGCCTGTTGTATGGATTCCTGTAAGATGTCGAGTACTGCGACGCCATCCATTGGCAGAACTCTGCCCCTTCAGCAGACGGGGCACGACTGTCACCGTTTGCCTTGAGCAGCAACCTCTGTAGCATCGCCGATGAGTATTGAAAGGATTCACTGCATGAAACTTCATACCTCGTCGCGTCGCGTCCTCCAGCAACTGAGTATCGACGTGTTCTGCAGGGAGCTGCACATACCTCACAACGGAACCGCGAATAAAGCAGTTTTTCACCGCCATCTAGAAACAGAAATGAATATGGAAACCGGATAGAAAGCGTACATTAAGCACCATGTGTGGGTGTCTCGCCTCGTCCAGTACATTGATCGAGTCTAGACGGATGTTGAGAAATCTGGGCGAAGAATGGGAGTGCATCATCAGTGATATTGGATCTATACTGAGATGGGAACTACGATACTGACTGGTCTACCGACTTCAGGACTCCTGTAATCGAGAGATCGTTCTTCAACTCGACGGTTACTCGTTGATCTGTCAGTGTCTTGAAGACGGAGAAGATAAGCTTTTAGATGTCCAAATTAACGATCAGTTAAGTTCGCAGGAAGACGCTATGAAAGCTGACCATGACTAGGACTAGAAGCACGGCTTAGATTTTAATAGTGGTGAATGATTATGGCCGGTGACATCGTCAATCGGCTTCACTAACAGTTATTTGGAGCGGTGGCTGTGCTCAACCGCAAGGAGACGACCTCCTGATATCATAGAGAAAACTAGTGCTACAATATTGTAATAATATCTACTCAAAGTCCGCCATATCGAAGTTGTACATAAAGTGCTAGTAGTTATTGAGGTCAGTGTTTGCCAGAGATGGTGGAAATTTGTTTCTACCTTGTATAAACTCATGACCTTCACTACCCAAGCCTCTAGGTGATAAATCTTTTTGTTGCCAAGTCGCATTCGGGTCTCCTGTACACATGTGAGAAACTGAAAGATTCAGCCGACGCCCACGTACATAAAATGCAGCCCAATGCATGACATCGGCTTTCATAGCCTCATCCACTCTCTCCACCACCCGCTCTGCAATGGTCTGGACACTATCAGTAACCTGTTCAGTACGCTGTACAGAGCGGTTCACCTTTAATATGATCGTTGGGGGAATGCAGTGGGCAAGAAGCTCGTAGAGTTTTGCCCGAACTTCCAAAACGCGTGCTGGTGACTGTTCTTGGACGATGAGATCAGCGACCTTGTGGCAGTAAATTTCCCAGTCTGGTTTGGCTATTGTCAGTGAACCTGAAAGATCTGGCCTGCACACGATGAGTCGCTGTAAGAGCGATACGGTTGCAGATTGAACATACGATTGCATTTTCAAGGCTTCGAAGACGAGTAATGCTTTGCGCATGTTACCACCAGAGTCTTCGGCGATCTGTTGTGATGCTTCTTCAGGTAAGTCGAACTTCAGTTTCTTTGCTACATGTTCCAAGACAGTTTGCATCTAGAAGCGTTCACCATCAAGTTTAAAAAGAGCTGCTTGATGTCTACTCACTTCTTCTGGGTTCGGTGCAGCGACTCGCATAAGTAGACAACGACTCTTTATTGGTGCTATTAGTCTGCTGGTGCTGTTGGCGCAGAGTATTATTCGCATGTTTGACATGTATTTCTCCATCGTTCGACGCAACGCTGCTTGTGCATCACGGGAAAGAGAGTCCGCTTCGTTAATCACAACGACTAACAAAAAGGTCAGGTTGACATCTGATTTTTGGGCAACGCTGGATGGTACCTTTGAATCTATGCTTCGCGTTCAAGTCTACCTGCTGTGTCTGCGCAATTTCCTTCAGCAAATCTTGAATGACAACTCTGTCATAATTTCCGGCCTCACTTCAAAGCACTTTAGACGATTCAGAAGAGTATCAAATGTCGGATAGCTGACCTGGGAGTGATCTCGATGTGAAAATTGCTTTGAACAATGTTTATTTCCAGCTTGCGTTTCGACGGTGAGATAAACACTCGTTGATCAATTTTGAGCTTCGATTCATGTTCATCAGTATCATCCAAAGTAAATCATAGAATTATACAATTCCTCTCACCTTCTCAACACCACTCCCAAACAGCTGTCTTAGAGTACAACTAATCCGTGTCTTCTTGCCAGCTCCGGAAGGCCCGTAGAAGAGCATGTGTGGGAAGTCAGCTGACGCAGCCTGTAGTATGTATGACACCATATGAGACACATGACCCTAAAACATCTGAGATTGGCTTACCAGAGATTTCAACCGAATAGACAAACTCTGGTGGTAGTGAAGGTCATCCAAAGTCTTTGGTCTGAACTGCACGACTATGAGAATGGCCAACCACCCAACGTAAAAAAGCTTCTCACTTTGTCTACCCAGAGAGACATTGTTGGAAAGAATTGAAGGCCAAATTTAAAGCGCGCAGGAACGTCGAGTTGAAACTTGAGAGCGCAAATTGCAGCAGTCGCGTGACGTCACGCGTCAATTGTCACGCATCTGAAGGTATATTGAGCTAACACCATAAATGAACAGTGGAGCTACCAAGAAGTTACAGGACCACAAGGTAGCCATGGCCAGCAACGACGCCATATGAAAAGGTGTTGAAAAGAAAACATGACTGTGCAACAGCAGATAAACCCCTATATGATGGGAGTTCCTTTTCCGTTTTTCCCACATGAGAGCTCGAGATCACTACCGCCTACTTTAACTTACTGTATATCGCTCACTATATATGAAGTTCTAAAGCCTACCGCCTTATACCGTATGTGTCCGTTACCTCACATGGCAGTACTGAAGTGACTGTCTTTAGCGAAAACGTTCACCCTTTTAGAGTGTTCACTGGTAACTCAACTACATTTTTAAATGACCCTTGGGTCTTTGGAACATCCCAGCACGTCCGAGTCAACGTGCCTAGCACAGGTGAAAAGACAGTCTGACATTGAAATATTGATGTATCAAACAGGAATTAAAGATTATCAATCAGTTGGCCCACCGCAAGATAATGAGCAGCCTTCTAATAGCTCACTAAAGTATCAATGGGTATAGAGATTGCAACAATACGCCGTGACACGTACGTAAAAGATCACAACGCTAAAAACAAGCAGACCATAGCGTATTCGATTTCCCAAATCGCAAAATAAGTTACAATAAAATTACAGCGGTCCATTCGTGCTGTTTCCCAGGGGGGTGGGCAGAGGAAGAGCGGACTGGAATTGCGGCGAAGTTTCAGTTTTAAAACCCAGGACAGTTAGAACGCATGCTTACTGGATTGGGTCCGGAGGGCCCAGGTACCGCAGATGCAAGGACTCCAGAACTTGGTGTGGAGGATCCAAGTCCCACGGTCATGGCTGGCGGTGAGGGAACCGATACGGTCAAACCACCAAGCGACGCTGTCGCCGTCATTGACTGGCCTGCTGAAGAAAGGTCCACGAGACTGACGCCGAGATCATACGAGGCAGTGACATGGTTTTGATTGATATGGAGCCATGGGATTTGGTATCCGCCACTGCCCACCCTATACGGTATTGGTTAGTGACTCCATACATCCTAGTTATGTGCCAACACTGACCTCGTCGTTACTACACTTTGGATGTCCAAATAGCCCAATGGAATGATGGGTAGGGACGCAAGGGCACCCTTAACTAGCTTAACATTTCCAAACTTTCCACTGTTAACAGTCTGCTTTGGAGGGATTACAAATGAGCTGAATGCCTGGTCTAAATGCGCATAAATTTCTCCATTGATCAAGCCATCAGCTTGCACAAATGAGATCTCGAGTTCAGTATCGAGAGGGTTTGTAACCTTACACAGTATGAGTTTACATCTAGAGCACGCGTGAAATTATACGTACGTCGAAGCTGAGATTGATTTCGTTAGTTACGAGTGTGGCTAGGGTGATTTCAGGGTATAAGTGGGAGATGATCGGATCGACGTTCAAGCCTACGACTTCTATAAGCAATAAAGGGTGGGCAGACGTGATTCTGCTTACCCGTGACACTACTTGTCAAAGTCACGCCTTCGAGTGCTGGTTGGAGTGATGCAAATGGTGTACTCGCAGAATCTCCTTGAATAGTAACTGGAAGGCTATTGCCGGTTTGCAGGAAGCTGGTGAGGAAGGCCTACGTCACAGAAATCAATAACCAGGTTATAACAAAGTCCATGACAGCAACCTCAGCTACGGTATCATTCGGATTTGCCGGCTCGTAATGGAACTCTCCTGGAATTGTATTTTCTCCTGGAACCAAGTTGAAGAGCTAAATGAGAAGTTCAGCTAGGACTATATCCATGTCAATCATTCACGCACATCGAATGCTGCTCGACCAATCATGACATCTTGGTAGTACACTGGCAGGGCGATGTCAACTGTGTCAAGCGAGATGTTGGACGGGTTGTTCATCGAAGACGTGAGGGGCGAGATGATATATTGATCCCCACCGTTCCCACCACTGCCAGAAATCGAGATGTTGGTTATTGTTGCCTTACTATCAAAGGAGTTCATGCCTATTACACAGGTTTAAGCATGAATGGAAGCTAGTTTGTATCGAAACTCACCACTTAGGCTTGAAGGGACATCGAAAGCAATTCCTGAGATAGGAACATCGCCAATGGCAGTCTTGGCGGTCACATCAGCGGTTCCGCTCAATTCTAGGGCTGCCGAATCCTTGTCCGTCACTTGAGCAAACATGGCTTCAAAGGCGCCGTTGTTGACTGAAGTTAATGGAACATTATGGAAACTGATTGGCAAGGCAGCGAGATTCCCAGTCGACACCCCTCCAATGCTGTCGGATTGAGGAAGGTTCAGCTACAAAAGGGTTAGTGAAATCTAACATGGACTGATAACCAACATTACCTGGGCGGCAGCTGTACCTCCATAGTCGAGGTCTATGTTAACGGTAGACTGAATAACTTGTAATGAGAAACCGAAGGGGTTCTTGTATTGTGCCACGGTGTTATTGGAACCTGACAACGGAGAATATGCATGGTCCTGGCTCTGCATTGTCAAGCTCAAATCCGAGAGTACGATGGATTGGATAATCTATTCATCATTAGTACAATTTTCTCCTGCGTTGTCGATAAACCTACGTCAAACTTCTTTCCAGGCAAAATGACATCGAGTGTGAGAGTCTTAAAGGCGGTACTGAGCCAAGTTACTGGTCCGTTTGCACCTGGAGGTTGAACAGTGTCGCCTTGAACATTCAGCGTGATGTTGTCTGCAGCTAGGTATTCTGAGAATAATTTGCCAATAGTACTCAGGCCAGAGCCACTTTGAGGTATCATTTGACCATTGAGGTGGGATGTCACTGACGACTCGGGTGGGAGGACGAGGTCGCTAGCGGTAAGTGCTATAAAAGGTATTAGACAGCGGTTTCGACTATATCAAATCTTCACTCACGTCCAATGTAAGTATTCTCAAAGTAGGCTTGGAATCCAACATTTCCGAGGCCGATGCCAAGTTCTGGGAGAAGAAATTAGAAAGAAAAGGGATAGTAGAAGGAATTGCACAAACGAGCAGGGGAAGGAATGATAGAGTCTGTCGACATCGTAATTCCCCCAGCTGGATCGTCGGAGGGGAGTTGGAAGTTACTGATCGTGACGCCTGGGAGACCATTAAATGCTTTCAAGGTGATCGTTTTTGACATCGAGACTCCATTGAAGATTGTTCCCAGAGCGGTTAGCTTGAG